TTAAAATTTATTTCACCCTTTTGAGATGTTTTCCTCCCTTTAGGTGCTGCTGTCAAGTTGAACAGGGGCTTAGCTACACTGGAACAGTTAGGAATAAACTTCTGATAATACATCACCATTCCTAGAAATGACTTGATCTTTTTTTGTGAGGGTGTTACTCCATCTGACATCATGAGGTCTGCTTCAGACACGGCCGATATGGCACTGACCTTATCCGGATCTGTTGCCACTCCAGTCTCATCAATGATATGACCCAGAAACTTCACACTACGTCTTAACAAATGGCACTTCTTAGGGGCCAATTTCAGTCCGTGTGCCTTCAGCCTAGTAAACACAAGCTCAAGCCGTTTAATGGCCTCCTCTTCATTTGGGGCATACACCAAAAGATCATCGAGATAGCACAGCAGTGTGAGAAAATTCTGATCTCCGAAGATGTTGGTCATGAGTCTCATGAAGCTGGCGGGACTGTTACAGAGCCCTTGTGGCAAACGATTAAATTCAAAGAGGCCCATGGGAGTTGTAAAGGCAGTGAACTTTCTGTCTTCCTCGGATACAACGATGTTATAAAACCCAGAGGTCAAGTCCATTGCACTGAAGATGGCATTGCCTCCCAAAGCTGCCAAGCAGTCTGCCTGATGAGGCAGGGGGTGGGCATCCTTAACAGTTCGAGTGTTCAGCCAGCGGTAATCCACACACACCCTAAGATCTCCAGTCTTCTTCCATACTAGCACAAGTGGTGAAGCCCACTCACTATACGACTTGCGTATTATCTCCTGTTCTTCCATCTCCGAGAGCACAGTTCTCAGCTTTAGATACTGAGCAGGAGGGACACGGCGGTATGGAAGTCTGAAAGGACGATCATCTGACAAATGAATTCGGTGGACAAACTCCTTGGCTTTCCCACAATCCAATTTATGCTTCGAAAACACTTCCTCATGTCTTTTAATGAGCTGCACTAACTCATTCTTCCAATAAGTGGATACTTCGCACGAGTCAATATCCAGGTCTCCAAGGTTAAGTTTTTGCATGCTCTCATGAAATTTGGAGACTGGGCGATCTTCCTCATCAACAATATCACCAACAGTCTTCTGGCAGTGCACACTCACCATTTCATCATCATGATCATTAGGCACACAAAGGTCCTCCACTGCCACAACAGGGAACACATCGGCAATTTTGGAGTTCCTTTTCAGCGTAATAGGCTTATCAAGAAGATTTATGATCTTAACTGGGACCCATCTATCTCCAGACATGGACGCTATAACTCTTCCCACCATGACACTTTTTTTGTGGGTCAGTGTCTTTGTAGGTTCAATCATAATAGCACTACCTAAGGAAACTGGAGCAGTCTGTGGCAGCTTACCCCACACAAGATGTTCCTGTTTGGGCAAAAGAGTGACAGCTTGGGTCAATTTAGCAGTGCCCACAATGTCAGGGATTTTGTTACCCTCCCATCTGTTTATGCCCGACAGCATGTTCAGGAACTGCTCAATTTCAGGTTCTCCAGACAGCACAGGGTGGTTCACAACATTCCAATAATTAGAGTCTTGTTTGAGCTGGGTGAGTAAGAACTTAATAACATTAGTACCCAGAATCAACTGGTCTTTTTGATCAGGCACAACTAACGTGGGCACACTTAGCTGTTTGCCATACACATCCATCTTTAGCTGGTACACTCCACTTGGTTTAACTTTAACACCACCACAGCCGATGAGAAGGATGTCCATATGTGTCTGATCAACTTGTGCAGGCATTCCTTCACTCAACAACTTTCGTTCAGTTTCTCCATTAATCGTGCAAGCCATGGATCCGCTATCTAGCAAAGCTTGAACTGAAACTTTATCATTCAATAACACTGGTGTATAGAACAGACTATCTGACTTCTCTAGCTTGGTGATGTTCTGAAAAAAAACAGTATCATTGGAGGCAGATTTGCGACACTCATCATAAACAGAGAAATTATCATCCATAGCGAGGGTGTGATGCTGTACACTCACATAGTCCCCTCCAAAATGTGAGTGCATCAGTTTCCCTGAACATATGAATCCGAAGCAGGAGGTCCAGCTGGGCTGACAACTTTGTGACACTGCTTTTGTTGATGTCCAGTTTCTAGGCATGATAAGCATCTCTTTTCTCTCATACAGTGTGAACGGGTTGAATGATTTCTGTCACCACAGACTCTACATGGAGATGTATTGCGCCACTGCGTTACTCTTGGTTGTGAGGCAGGAGCAGGTTGGCTAGTACGCTCCAGCACCCTTTCTAGCATGTTTAAAACACGCTCCAAAATGCCAGCTTCTGAAGATGGCGATTCTGCAGCCTTGAGTGGACTATCAGGGACAAAAGCTGGAGCAGCTGCATTTAAGCTCTCACCACCAGGAACAGTGTGTGGACTGGACAATACTTTGGCTGTAGCAACATGAACAGACTTAACTACATGAGTGACAGGCAGTGTCTTAGACTGAACATCTCTGTGGTGCTCATCTATGGCTTCCTGGATTTCAGTGATAGTCCATTTACTTATAGGTTTACACCTAAAGACACTAGAAAGGCCTGGGTCTGGGCAATTCCTAATGAACATCATAGAAATCTCAGAACTCATGTTTTTTATCCTCGTGCCTTGTTTCTGCAAGTGACTGTCTGCTAACTCAGCAGCTGTATTTAACCTAACCCAGTAGTCAACAGGGCACTCATTTGCTTTGGGTTGTGTCGCATAAAAGTCAGCTAGGGGTTGACAGGATCCAGGATGTTCACTAAAATAACGTCTTAACACATCATAGATGGTTTCAGGGGAGATGGCTTCATCAGGGTTGCACTTCAGTTTAACTTTAACAATATTTTTAGCCCTGCCTAGCAGATGGCTCAGTATCTCATCTACCTGATCTTTGTTAGAGCAATCTGCTTTGTGGAGATACAATTCCATCAGCTCTATCCATTCCTGAATCGTGCATTTGTCTGAATCATCACCTCTAAACATAGGAGGTTCTCTGATGTCTGGTTTAACAATTAGACTGACATTAGCGAGACTATGGCCTGCACTAGTGGATTCAGGGACAACACGATTAACAGTGACTGAGTTAGAAGTGGCAACTGGAGTTTGGCTAACTAACAGGCGGTTGACAATGGAATCACCTATTTGACTGCCTAATTCACCAATAAGGTCACGTAACTGCTGTGCAACATTATCATCGGCGTTATTAGGAGTAGAGGCAGTCGGACCAGCAGGTTCGTTTGTTGGAGTATTGTGTGATTGAGGACTATAAATTAACGCTCTAGGTTTACCAGCAGTAGGGATTTCTACACCCAACAGCCCTCTACCCCTCCCAAGGTATGGTGTCATAAACTCAGAGTCTTTTCTCACCCCAGCCATGGTATGATTTTACAGCAAAATAAGCACAAAGGATAACTAACCTCAGAAAATGTGAAATAAATTAGATGAGGAGAAACCAAAAGTTCATCAGTATCAAACCGCAGAATAGTCTTTGTCTTTTCAGTCTCTTTTACGAAGCAGCTACTGGAACAGTGGTGAAACGGAATCTTCAGCCTCCACTTACAGCACACGAACGCCACGAACATGTAGAACAACTCCGGTGGTCGGCTGCAGCTGACTCTGTTGATCCAGTAGGTCACGGCACCATTTTAATGTAGCAGTTTTACTCTGGTTGTGTGTGTTTTTTCCCAATAAGACAACAGCGGCGTTGGAGGTCTCAAGTTTGGTTTATTCTGTAAAAACACAGAGAGCACAATAATATGCTGAAATCTCTCTCTCTCTTTTTCCACTCAGGCTCGCGTTAGCAGAGCAAGAGAACATGCAACCAACTCAGTCAGCGGCGAATTCAACACTCTTTGCATTAATAATAGCCAACAAATTGACAAAAACAATAGGTAAAAGAAAATAAATACAAATAAATAGACCACAAAAACTAGCAGTAAAGAATAAACATTATAGTATACATCAGATAAGTTGTAAAAGGAATATAATGTTTCACTGGTCACTACATTAGTAAGCAATAGAATGAAAAATAGTGTCAAATATCAGAAAAGATACACAAATAAACATTTAACACTATAAAATACATGAATATATGCAAAATTATATTGCTTTGCAAACAGACCTCATTTTACACAACTTGTATAATTAGATTTCAAACATCACTTAACAAAACATAATAAACATACCTGTAAAAACACAGAGAGCACAATAATATGCTGAAATCTCTCTCTCTCTTTTTCCACTCTGCCAATTAGAAAGGAAAGTCACTTTAAGCACTCAAAATGTGATTATTTACATTCATCTTCGATAAATCATAGTTTTATCACGTTTATACTTTCACTGTCACATAAAATAACTCAGTGAACTCGCTTGAAAATCCTTACCAGGCTCGCGTTAGCAGAGCAAGAGAACATGCAACCAACTCAGTCAGCGGCGAATTCAACACTGAAGATGGCGCTGCCTGCCCACACACCGCATGAGTTGCTGTGTGCGCCACTAATATGTGCTCTCCATAAACATTTGCCAACATGGTTCCGCATAAAAAACATCTCTATCAAAACTATATACAAAACATTATAATTAAGAAAAGAAAATATAAAACAAAAGTAATTAAAAGTAAAGTTTTGATGAAGTTCACTAATAATTTGCATTGGTATATTTTATACTTATTAGCTCAGCTACACCTCCAAGACCAAACACATCAACATTGCTGTATTCATATTAATTACCATTCTAAATCCTGAGAGTGGTCATGACAGAAATGTTGTTTTAACAACCAGATGCATACAGACATGTGCAGCTTCATCTTAATCTAAAATGCATCTCAGACCACTTTCTAAAGTGGTTTAAGCGATTGGATTTACATCGGTCTCAAATGTGTCTCAGAGAGCATTTACACCCATCCTTTTCATCATAGGATAGCTATACAGCCAGAAAAAAAATGTGTAAATAGCCCCATGGTGCTCACTTGTTAATACTTATTACTTAAAGGTATATCATTTCACAGGGAGAGCACATATGGATTGTTCTCGATGGTCCAGTTGATGCCATCTGGATCGAAAATCTCAACTCTGTCTTAGACGACAACAAGACCCTCACCCTGGCCAATGGAGACCGAATACCAATGGCTCCCAACTGCAAGGTGGTATTTGAGCCTCACAACATTGACAATGCGTCTCCTGCCACCGTGTCCCGCAACGGAATGGTCTTCATGAGCTCCTCTGTTTTGGACTGGCAACCCATACTGCAGGCCTGGCTTAAAAAGATCCCGCCAATGCAGGCTGATGTGCTGCTGGCCGCCTTCAACTCGATCTATCAGGTGACCGCTAGACACAGTATTTATATACAGTTTGAGAAGGTATCTAGTAGTGTGAAGTGTTTACAACACAAATTCAGAAATAGATTAATATTAGCTTGTAAACCATTTAAGCCATTAAGCATTATGCATATGAAAAGCTCTATTGATTTTTTTCTCTTTTGACATTGGCCAAGGAAAGGTCAGACAGAATTTTTTGCGCAGTTTTTAAAAGCTCCCATTGACTATTGAGATATCTAAAACCACTTAGGAAATATTGTTGGATTATTATTATTATTAATAATAATATTATTAATATTATTATATTTGTTTTACACACTCTTTTCAACAGGATTTGATGAATTTTGTCTTCACTGCCGTGTCCCCCAAAATGCAGCTGCTTGAATGCATGTACATAAAGCAGACCATTGATTTATTACAGGTAAATAGATATTTAAAGTCATTACATTTTATGGCTATGTTGAAAAAGCACCATTTACTTACCCTCAAGTTATTCCAAACCTTCCATAGCACAAAAGTAGATATTTTGAAGAATGTTGGAAACCAGTAGCCATTAACATCCACGGTGTGAAAAAATAAACTACCAACAATTTTCTGGCTATATGTGAACAGGCCCTTATTGAAAATAACTGTGTAAATAATTGTCGATGAAATGCTTATGATAAACCGGCATTTGTTTAATATTTAAGCTCTGTTTCAATTGCTTAGCGCGTGTGCATTTGAAGGAGCCAGTGAGCGCCAGCACACACACATTATGTACATCTCGACATGTCAAAGTGTTCCTCCATATGTTTTCATACAAGTTGTTCACAATACTTATCCATCCACAAAAATTGTAATGTAGTCTTGTAAATGCTAAAGCTGTAAATAAAAGTAAAACCATCAAGAAAAGCTGGACTCCATCTACGTTTACAAATACAAGCGCTGCCGTCATTTTTGGTAAATGATGTCAGAATTTAACGTTATTTTGGAATGGATATATCTTTGGATACTATATATATATATATATATATATATATATATATATATATATATATATATATATATATTTATATACAACTGTTCTGTCTGGTTCTCAAATCTGATTGGCTGATAGCGGTGCGATATTCTGCAATATCAAAACTCCTACAGCCTCCTTACCCTTTGTGTATTACTCCGCCCACATACAACCAGCAAAAAGCATACATATACAGATCTAAAGTTTAAAATATGCATGCTCAACTGTTTTAACTGTCAGCTTATGATTTCAATCCAATGTGGAAGAAAGTAGTTCCACATACAAAAGGGTTTTTGAAACTTTTCGTGTTTAATTTTGTTTTTATATACACCATTATGCCGTCAAACTGTTGTATAAATGCAATATCACACTCGTAGCAGTGCGATATGGCTGTATATCGGCACTGGTGGGGGCACTAAGGCACGCACATCGCACGCCTCCCACCAGTGCCAATATACAGGCATATCGCACTGCTACTCGTGTGATATTGCTCATATATATATATATATATATATATATATATATATATATATATATATATATATATATATATATATATTGCTTTTTATGTATATAAGTCATATATTAAGTTATTAAGTCATTCCAGAAATTTTCCGGATATTTACCGGTATCACTGTGTGAAAGGGGCTAATGTAAAACATTGACTACTGTTTTCCCAACTAGATGAAATACATAAAAGGGTGAGTAAATGATGACAGAATTTTAAATTTTTGGTGTTTGATTTTTTGTCCTTTAATGTAGATGATGTCTATCAACACTAAATGTACTCTTTTAATGTTGAGATGAAATGGCAAATGCTGTCTCCTTTGAAAAAGTAAAAAAAATATAAAGGTGTTTATTTGTTTAAAACAGGGCCTGTTGCCAGCCGTTGAAGAGAAGAACCTAAATGCGGCTCACATCAACCGCCTTTTCATTTTTGCTGTCATGTGGTCTGCTGGTGCTTTAATGGAACTAGAGGATCGAGCCAAGATGGAGGTGTTTCTTAAAAAGCACAATGCCAGACTGGACCTTCCCAGCACACAGGGAGAACAGACCATCTTTGAGTTTTTGGTCAGTTCCACTGGAGAGTGGGATCTGTGGGCTACAAGGGTAAGACGATTAATAATAAGTGAATTTAAAGTGTGATGTTTAGTCAGTGGGGTGGCACGGTGGCTTAAAGGTTAGCACTGTCGCCTCACAGCAAGAAGGTTGTTGGTTCGAGTCCCGGCTGGGCCAGTTGGCATTTCTGTGTGCAGTTTGCATGTTCTCCCAGTATTGGCGTGGGTTTCCTCCAAGTACTCTGGGTTCCTTCTACAGTCCAAAGACATGCGCTATAGGTGAATTGAATAAACTAAATTGGCCGTAGTGTGTGTGTGTGTGTGTGTGTGTGTGTGTGTGTGTGTGTGTGTGTGTGTGTGTGTGAATGAATGAGTGTATGGGTGTTTCCCTTTACAGGGTTGTGGCTGGAAGTGCAACCGCTGCGCAAAACATATGCTGGAATAGTTAGGGGTTCATACCCCTGTGGCAGCTCCTGATAAATAATAGACTAAGCCCAAGGAAAATAAATAAATGAATGTTTAATTAGGGAATTTTAAGTGTGATTTACAGGCATAAGTGTCTGTAATGATCTTTAATCATAACATCACAAGCCACACAAGGTTTCTTTGAGCCAGCTGTACTGTTTTTCTTTTAATTCAGTGCATGAATGAGTCAATATTTGTCATGCCTTTTAATCAGACATTTTAATTTTAGGTGCCAGAGTATATTTACCCCAAAGACTCGGTTCCTGACTACGCCTCCATTCTTGTACCCAATGTCGACAATATACGGACTGACTTCCTGATGCAAACTATCATGAAGCAAGGCAAAGCTGTGCTGCTTATTGGTGAACAAGGAACAGCCAAGACTGTCATGATAAAGGTGTGTGATTGGGTACTTTAACCCATGCTAGACTGCCACTCATAGTTATGGGTGAGTTAGGGTTTATTTTATTTTTTTTAGAATAGTTATATAGTTATATTTATAAGGGAAAAATTGAACTGATAAAAATGACAGTAAAGACAAAAATAAAGTATAAAAATGTATTTAAGAATACAGTAGTTTTCTCACAGAATACTTTTTTTGCATACATATTAAGTTTTCAGCGTTATATTTAATATAACGAATGTTTGTGAGAACAAAATCATACATAAACATTAAAAATACATATTTTTAATACCTACAAATCTTTCAAATAGTAGTTTATATCTGAATTTAAACTTCCTGTGAAATTAAATTAAAAAATGTAGATGTTAGTTTCAGTCTGTTAGTTAGTTTTAAGGATATCTGTTAGGTAAAGTAACAAAATTTGCATTTAGAAAATAAAAAATTAATATAAACATCCAAAGCTTGTAGTTTGTCACTTCAACCTAAATGGATCAACAATTTTGCTTATGTCAGCTCAGCTCAGTTTTCATCAAATCTTCACCAATCAAATGCTCTCTAGTATCTGACAAGCCCCGCCCCCTTCAAGATGCTTCTTATTTGCTTTTCATTTGATGTGCTTGATCTCAAACACTCTCACTGGCAGACCTGTGATAAAAACGAAAGGCTATTGGCTTTTTTTTTTAAAGGGGCTTCTCTATGTGCCACTTTCTCTTGATTTTTCAGTTTACATCAAACATTGAATAAAAAAATTTGCACTTCTAGGGACTTTTAACTAAATGCTTGCCTGAAAGCCTGAAATGTTCATTAAAAAGTTCTGAAAGTCATGTTTTCTGAACCTCCCCACAGGGCTACACCAGCAAGTATGACCCAGAAACCAATTTGAGTAAAAGCTTAAACTTTTCCTCGGCCACCCAGCCTGGCATGTTTCAGCAGACCATCGAAAGTTACATCGACAAGCGCATGGGCACCACCTATGGACCTCCTGGAGGAAAGAAGATGACGGTCTTTGTTGATGACATCAACATGCCGGTTATCAATGAGTGGGGCGATCAGGTAAGGAGTAAAGCTGTCATTTATCTAACCCTGTTTCCTCCTGATATTAAAAAGGGATGCAAATGGAGCACTCTGAGAACACTATATAGATGACCTGCCCACAAAGAAATATATGGCAATATACACTAAATACATAAATGACATACAAGTTCATATTTTGATTTCACACACACACGCACACACACACACACATATATATATGTGTGTGTGTGTGTGTGTGTGTGTGTGTGTGTGTGTGTGTGTGTGTGTGTGTATATATATATATATATATATATATATATATATATATATATATATATATGCAAAATATTTTTAAAATTACAGTTTTTTTAACCATTGAAATGACAAATTTGTACGTATGTTCAAATATATTAACTATAATTTTATATATGTGTCCATGGCTATAATACTCACCGGCCACTTTATTAGGTACACTTTACTTGTACCAGGTTGGACCCCTTTTGCCTTCAGAACTGTCTTAATCCTTCGTTGCATAGATTCAACAAGGTACTGGAAATATTCCTCAGAGATTTTGGTCCATATTGACATGATAGCGTTTTGTTGGCTGCACATCCATGATGCGAATCTCCTGTTCCACCACATCCCAAAGCTGCTCTATGTGATTGAGATCTGGTGTATATGTAATTTTGATATACTCCTATATATCAGATTTCTACATGGGTGAACAGACATGGGCTTTGACTAATTATGTGTGGTCTGTTCTATAACAGTCTGAAGTTCAAACTTGTTCATGCTTCTATTTTATTGTGGTTTTAATAAAAACTCAAAAAAAAAAATGGGCCAATGTTTTAATATGCAACCAATAATATATATATTTTTCTTATTCTCCTTAACTGAGCCACCCCTCTTTTTCTTCATCTTTTAGATCACCAATGAGATTGTTCGTCAGCTGATGGTGCAAGGAGGTTTTTACAGCCTGGAACGGCCTGGCGAATTCACCACTGTGGTCGACTTGCAGCTGGTGGCTGCCATGATCCACCCCGGAGGAGGCCGCAATGATATCCCTCAGCGTCTCAAACGCCAGTTCTGTGTGTTTAACTGCACTCTGCCATCCAACTCCTCCATAGATAAGATCTTCCACACACTGGCCAGTGGTTACTTTTGTGTAGAAAGAGGCTTCCCGGAAGAGGTGTGCTCTCTGGCTGCTGCCCTGGTCCCCACCACGAGGAAAGTGTGGCAAGCAGTCAAAGCTAAGGTACTGGTTTAGTTTTAGAATGTAGGTATGGGATTCTGTTGGGCACTCTTGGGGTCCTTTTAAACATGCATACATTTTGTCTCAGCACTAGACAGTCTACAATATTAGAGAATGGTGCCCTCTTGTGGTCTGTACACTACATTAAAAAGATAGTACACTCAAAAATTATAATTCTTTCATCATTTACTCACCCTTCACTTGTTAAAATCTATTTTCTATAATCTAAGTTTCTTTCTACTGAGAAAATAGAAGATAGTTTAAAGAATGCTGGTTGCTGGTATCCATTTGGTTCCATTGTAGTAAAACAAATACTAGAGCTTTTCTCACAATATCTTCTTTTTTGTGTTAAACAGAAAAAAAGAAACTCATAAATGTTTATAACTACATGTGAGAGTAAATGATGGGGTCATTTTATTTTGGGGTGAACTTTCCCATTAATATTGTTTAGCTCTAACCCATCACTGGAAAACATCCATACACACTTATTCACACACGAACACTACGGACAATCTAGCTTACCCAGTTCACCTATAGCGCACATCTTTGGACTTGTGGGGGAAACCGGAGCACCCTAGGAAACCCACAGGAACACGTGGAAAACATGCAAACTCCACACAGAACTGCCAACTGACCCAACCAAGGCTCGCACCAGTGACCTTCTTGCTGTGAGGTGATCGTTCCATCCACTGCGCCACCATGACGCCCGATCATATACATGTAAACATTATTATCACATCCTGTAAATTATTTTTGGTTATTTAAGGGTTTTTTACATCAAGGGCAAGGGCACAAAGAGTGTTTAACATCCATGGAAACTTTTCATTAAACAAAGAATTATTAACAGTGAAACAGTGTTCTTTTAATTATTAAAATGTTCTTCACATAAAGAAAAAATATATTTATTTTAAAAACTCCTTACTGAACCCAAACGTCTATGGTAGTTATCAAAAATACATTACTGATTGATGGTACTGATCTTATTTTTTTTATACTTACAAATATTTTTATTTCAGTAATGGTGCATTAAAGACAGCAAAGACACTTTTGCATTGCATGAACATTAAAACATTCATACTTCATGTAAAAGCCCCCCTAAATTATTAGCGCCCCTGTTTTTTTTTTCTTTTTTTCCCCAATTTCTGTTTAATGGAGGGAATATTGTTTCAGCACATTTCTAAGCATAATAGTTTTAAAAACCTATTTCTCATAACTGATTTATTTTATATTTGCCGTGATGACAGTAAATAATATTTTACTTGATTTTTTTTCAAGACACTTATATATAGCTTAAAGTGACATTTAAAGGCTTAACTAGGTTAATAAGGTGAACTAGGCAGGTTAGGGTAATTAGGCAAGTTATTCTATAACGATGGTTTGTTCTGTAGACTATCGAAAAAAAAATTGCTTAAAGGGGCTAATAATTTTGTCCCAAAAATAGTTTTGAAAAAGTTCAAAACTGTTTTTATTTTAGCCAAAATAAAACAAATAATACTTTTTCTAGAAGAAAAAATCTTATAAGACATACTGTGAAAATTTCGTTGCTCTTTTAAACATGATTTGGGAAATATTTAAAAAGGAAAAAAAATCTAAAGGGGGCTAATAATTCCAACTTCAACTGTGCGTGTGTGTGTGTGTGTGTGTTTATATATATATATATACAGTATAGTGGTGGGCCGTTATCGTTGCGTTAACACGAGACTCTTATCCCGTGATACAAAAATATTGCGTTAATCTATTCTCAAAGTTGGGTTGGGAGCTGGGTCTATTCTACGCTAGCTATGATGACTTTCACCTTATTTTAGCATGGATGTATACCTGGTCGAATTGCACTGTAGGTGGCAAGAACGAATCTTCGAACCTGTGTGTATTCCTACTGTGGAATTTCAAATTACCACATCAAACGTGACGTGCTAACATGGATTCAGTTCACTAGAGTGAATCTAATTAATGTTAGCTCCACATCTAACCATCAGGCACCTGTAGAGTTTATGCGTTTGAGTAAAACATATAGAAATAAAATGGAACGGGTGCTTTTTAAAATGAATGATGGTGAATGAAAGTCAAACCGGAGAGCTGTCTGACAAAAAAAGTCCCCTTCTGAATCAAATCGGCAGGAAGCCCGTCTGGATCTTTCACTTATTTCAAAGACACTACTGACCACGTTTACATGAACATCTGTAATCTAGTTATTTGCCTTAATATACAATAATATAAATAAGGTGTTTACGTGAAGTGCTTTCATGTAAGAGTTCTCCTGTAAGACTTTAACTGCAGTTCAGCAGTTTCACTCATGAACATTTCATTCATGCCCCCGTGAATAACTGGGGTATTAGATGCAAATAAGGAGTAAGAACTGTTGAGAGTGTTATGGAATTTAATAACGCACGCCTAATGGAAAGAAAAAAGCTTCTGCATTTCACGATGTGTGTGTGTGTGTGTGTGGTGTGCAGTCCTTTACTGACAGTGTGTGTGTGTGGATCTTGTCGAAAATATGGCGAAAAGTCCTACATGACGGTAATAGTTTGACTGCGGTGTTTACTTCAATAATGTCACTGATATATGAATACTCCATGTCTTAATCCCATTTCTGATCGGTTCAGTTATGACTTAAGTCGGATTAAGGTAATCAAAAATCCCTGTTTGGAGCTTATGTAGGCCAGCTGTTCAAAATTCATGTTTTACTGAATAAACAGTTTGTAAACACAAGTACAGCTTATTGAACATAACTTATTTTCATCACCAATTATCATAGTAGAACAGTTTCTCAAGGAGTTTGAGATGCATTTTGGAAAACGGGAGATGAACCCCTGGTCTAATGCGCCACCTGGCTTGAGAAACCCGTTCTCAAAGACTTACTTTTAATCATTATTTGGGTAGCACACATATTCCGAATGCCTTCAGCAGAATTCAAATGAGCCATTATAATCTAGATTAATTGCAAGATTTCAGTGAGATTAATCTAGATAAAAAAAAATGAATTTATGCCCACCTATAACAAATTAATAAATATAAATAAAACCAAACCAGAATACTACAGAAAGATTTACAAAGATCACATGACATTGATGACTGAACCAATATTACAGTTTCTTTTTACTATTGCATAAACTCTTCCTAAACCATGTAAATCTGACAGCCATGAAAATTTGAAGGTTGTGTATATTAAGAAATTAATATTGTGATGTTTATATTGATTTCAGATGCTGCCTTCCCCTGCAAAGTTCCACTACATTTTTAACTTGCGAGATCTGAGCAGGATTTGGCAGGGGATCCTCACCGTGGGCTCAGAAGTGTGTCAGACGCCTCAACTGCTGGCGTCTCTTTTCCGCCACGAGTGTTCAAGGGTCATCGCTGACCGCTTCATTGATGAGAAGGACAGAGAGACGTTTGATGGCATTTTAGAGAGGGTGTGTAAACTAAATCCTGACTGGCTTCATGATCTTCTACCTCCTGCACAGGATGGCTACTTAAAGGTCCTGTGAAGTGCTTTGAAGTGTGCAGTTTTTTTATTAGATGTTTGGCGTAATCTCAACTGAACGATGAAGAGAGGGTGGGATATAATGTAGCTCCTCCCCTTTTTTAAAAACAGCCAATAGCACTGTGGTTTATCACAGCTCTGCCGGAGAGAGTGCATGAGCGCATCTAATGCGAAGCGTCTTAATGGGGCCGGGCATGTCAGATATATGATGAGAAGTGACAAACTGCAAGTTTTACATGTTTATATCAGTTTTATATTTCCTAAAAGTGATTTCTGTCACTGTTTTGTTGCACACTAGCTTATAGATATCTTAAAAACTACCATTACTGATGCTAACATCTAAAAAAAATATTTTAATTTCATAGGGCCTTTAATGCTTTAACAAATCTGTTTTTTTTTTCTCTCAAGATCACAGCACAGGATCATGGTCCTAGTCTTCTGGAGCAGGGGCCATGGCAAGGGTATTTTGTGGATTTCCTGCGGGATGCTCCAGAGATGACGGGAGAGGAACCGGAAGACGCTGAAGAAGAAACACCAAAAGTCTATGAGCCCATTCCCACATTCAAGGCTTTATCTGAGCGCCTGTCTATGTTTCAAGAGCAGTATAATGAAGCTGTTAGAGGAGCAGCCATGGATCTGGTCTTCTTTGAGGTTAGTGGGGTAAAAATGACAATGATAAAATGTTGTATAAAGTGGGCAGTGTTTTACGTTATGGCAATGCAATGCAATGCGCGCGTACTGAAGAGCGGTGTTGTCGCGCGCGTTCTAATCAGCGGTGTTGTTGTGCGCCTACTGAAGGGCGGGACAGAGGGCACTTTTGATCATTTTGGAAGGGCACTTTCTATCCAAGACTAAAAAGGGCATGTGCACTGCACAGGTTGAGCCCTATGTGTGCACGTGCCTGCAATGCAATACCTTTTTCACTTCAGGGCCCACCTTCTTCTCTGATTAAGTTTTGAAGACATTTTCTCTTAATTTATCTTGATTAATTAGCAACAAACGCAACATTTCTTTTGCCTTCTACTATTATTCTCTTTTTTTCTACAGCATTTTATAAAACAAAAACTACAAATCATTTCATAAATATATTTCATCACCTTAGAATTATAAGGTTCTATCTGACATTTTTGGCAAAATTGAGTTATTCACATATTCTTATTAAATGACAACGTATTTACATCATGTCATGTTTTTTTTTTTAATAAGTTGTTTACACTTTAAGATCTTGGCTCTATAAGGTTCTTTCTCTAAGTCAGGGGTGTCCAAACTTGGTCCTGGAGGGCTGGTGTCCTGGAGAGTTTAGCTCCAACCCTAATCAAACACACCTGAACACGCTAATTAAGCTTACTAGAAATACTAAAAGCTTCCTGGCAGATGTGTTGAAGCAAGTTGGATCTAAACTCAGCAGGACACCGGCTATCCAGGACCGAGTTGCTCTAAGTCAGTGGTTCTCAAACTTTTTTTCATCAACTACCACTTCAGAAAAAAAATGTCTCTCCAAGTACCACCAAAATGAGCAGTATTGAAATACAGTATTGTTGTAGGCCCAGTAAAGCAGCTACAACTCTGCCAAGTTAAAAAAACGTGGCAGATCACCTCAGAAATATAAGCTATATGTCATATATGGCATATTATATACATCATTTTTTATAAATTTTAAAATGTGTATAGCTTGTACATGACATATTTTTTATTCCTCCGCGTACCACTAGAAGGAAGCCTGCGTACCACTAGTGGTCCACGTACCACAGTTTGAGAACCACTGCTCTAAGTCAATCAGCATATCAAATGCACGCATGAGGACCAATCAGTACCAGCTTTCTTTGTTATTCCACTGGACTGCTCTGTCGACAGCAGAAAGAAACACAAAATCAACTAAATTATGCCGCTCCACACAAAATTGAGAAGAAACCTCACTGTGCACTATTTTATAGACCTTATCAAGGACAGCAGTCTAAATCTATATTCAGAATTAGTAGCCCCCTGAATTATCACCCCCCTGTTTAGTTTTCTCCCCAAATTATTTTAACGAAAAGATTTTTTCAACAAAAAATGTGTGTGAATGTTTCCCAGAGATGGGTTGCGGCTGGAAGGGCATCTGCTGCATAAAAACGTCTTGGATAAGTTGGCAGTTCGTTCTCCTGTGGCGACCCTGGATTAATAAAGGGACTAAGCCAACAAGAAAATGAATGAATGAATTTCTAAAAATAATACTCTAGTTTTAAAAACTAATTTTTAATAGCTCATTTATTTGATCTGCCATGATGACAGTAAATAATATTTAATTAGAACTTTTTCAAGACACTTTTATACAGTGTAAAGTGACATTTAAAGGCTTAATTAGGTTTATTAGGCAGGTTAGGGTAATTAGGCAAGTTTTTGAATAATGATGGTTTGTTCTGTAGACTAATGAATAAATATAGCTTAAAGAGGTTAATAATTTTGACCTTAAAATGTTTTTTAAAAAATTAAAAACTGCTTTTTTTCTAGCCGAAATCAAAACAAATGAGACTTTCTCCAGAAGAAAAAATGTTATTAGACACACTGTAAAAAGTTGTTTGTTGGCTCAGTTAAACATAATTTGGGAAATATTTAATAAAAAAAAAAATTCAAAAGGGGGACTAATAATTCTGACTTAAACTGTGTATATATATGTATTTTTTTTTTTTATTCACTATTTTACTCTAATAGTAGGTAATTTGCAATTGGATAATTGATAATAGATTATTTCCCTAATTTAGAAAAAAGTACAATGATAAAAAATAAAAATAAAAAGCTTCAAAATGAAAAAAAAAATCTCTAAAAATTGACAATTTACAATAGATTTTGTTTGAATGTTTACTGTCATTAAATGCTATCTCACAGCAATTCATAACTTTTTGTTTTAGTGGCTAACTCTTAATTTAAATTCATGAATTTGTGCGATCTTATTCGTACAATTTTGTAGGATTTGCTGATCCCCAATGACATTTGGGTTTGGTGCCATGCTTCCTTATAAAAAGCATATATTTTCGTATGACTGAGGTTTCCTCATGAGATCAAGCTGGATTATTATATATTAGATTTTCTTTGACATATATTTATGATAATCATTAAGAATTTGATTTAACTTTAATGTTAATCTCCATTTGGTTAATGTTAATCTACTTTGTCACAGGATGCCATGATCCATTTGATGAAAATATCCCGTATAATCCGGACGGCTCGTGGGAATGCACTACTGGTTGGAGTCGGAGGTTCTGGGAAACAGAGTCTCACCAGACTTGCATCCTTCATAGCTGGATACCAGAGCTTTCAAATCACACTGACAAGGTAACAATACTGCTCAGAGTTCTCTTGATTGGTTTGGATTAAATAAAAAATAAAATCAATAGATTTCGTTTGGGTTTGCTTAGTGTGTATGCTATAATTTCTAAGACCTAAAATCTGAAGCAAAAAAAAAAAAAAAAAAAATATATATATATATATATATATATATATATATATATATATATATATATATATATATATATATATATATATAGCAATCTCACAAAAGGTTTATTAGTCTAAAGTATTTTTATTTTATTTATTTATTTATTTATTTATTTTTAGATATTTTCTATTTAAATTGTTTCATTGTTCATTACTATACCCTGGATTCATTTTTCTAGTTGCATATTCTTGCAATATGTTTGGGATGAATACTAAGAAATACCTTGTACTTTCCTAAAGGGTCACACCTCTAGTTTGGAAAAAGTCAGGAAAGTAGGTGTGTCCAGCTCTGTTTAGGTGGGACTGTCGGGGGAGGGAAAGAGGGAAGGTGCGTAAAAATTTGCATAAAAATGGGAGTTTCCGTTTGGGCATGCACTGATTTTCACAGAGACAAAACAAACACACAGACGCAGGGGAGAAAGACAGTGACTGTTTACATGGACGTCAGTAATTGAATTATTTGCCAAATTATTAAATGGTGGCACTTTCATTCAGGAACATTTCGTGCGTGCCCCCTGTGACAATTGTGACATTGCATGCAAGGAACTGCTGGAAAAGTCTAGTTTTAATTGAATGTTTGATAAGGCACTGTATATGGGCGAAAAAAAAAACTCTCCATTTCTCTGTAACTTAGATGTACTCTGTAGGTAGCGTCAGAAAGCTGTGTGTATAAACTATCCTGTCACAAAATCCGGCGAAAATTCTACACAACGATAACAGTTTGATTTCAGCGTTTACATGTTTACACTCGGAGAGCAGCATTTACAGCGGATCTGTAAGTCCGTAATATTGTAGTGATATTAAAGTACTGTAAGCTTAGCAACTTGGAAATCATTTTGACTAAGGTCTGTCTTTAAACACTGAAAGAGTACTGCTGACGATATGAAATAACTTTGCTATCTGAATAAACAAACAAAGACCACTGATCGCTCACTTGCCAAATCTGTAGAGATAGAACAATCAACAGCAACTGGAACCACGTCTTTGTTAAAAGGACACGATCGGCAAATGCGGATTTCACCATTTCTAGATGCGAAAAGCTCTTGAGTAAAAGTTCCGTACAAACGTATTTCTGCCGCATGTGTTGCGTGCACTGTAATCCACATGTAAGTCCAGCTGCACTCTCATAGCGAAAATGAAAACAAAACACATTTATAAACGCAACACTGACGACGCATGTCTCCAAACAATTCTTCTTCTTTCACTTGTTTTGGCAACACAACGTGGTGTCTCTCTGCCGTCTGAAGACTGTAACAAGTAAAAACAGTCCTTGAAGCTATCATGCATATTAATGAAGTTGCACCTCATAGACAATAGAGCGCACTGATTGATTTGAACTATGTCTTTCTCATGAATTAATGCTGCACACTCAGAGACGTCACAAAGTACTCCCAGGGACATACATTCAGGCCCCGTTTACACTAGTGCGTTTTAGTTTTAAAACACTAGCGTTTTACCTAGCGTCTCTGAACATATCTCCGTCCACACTACCAAAAACGTATATCATAAGACCATTCACGCACTCTGGGCATGCGCGTTCTAGTATAAACAGAAACCATGCGTCTCGCTTGGCATTTGGGTATTGTTAATCAACAAACGCCGGTTGAACATTAAACGCGATGGCAAAGAAAGCAAGAGAGTTATTTTTGTGGACAGACGTCGAGGTCGAGTTGTTACTAAACGTAACAAGTAAATAACTGCACAATGGCGCCTAAAACAGACAACAGTGCAAACAACGCTCCCATTTCTGTGCCCATGTTTTTGTTTACAGTACTGTTTTCCGGTAGCGTTAAAGCCATGTGTTATAGTCATGTGATATAGGCTTGACGAATAAGGGACGGATACGCAATGACACAAAAGCCCCAATCAGGTAGCGAATCTCAGCATCTATGTTTTCAGATGTCTCCGTTTGTCCTCATCCACAAGATGGAGCAGCAGCATTTCAGAATGAAAACGGCCTCTCTATCGTTTTCAAAGCACTCTGTTTTCGGCGCTCGAGAACTCCGGCGTAGTGTGGACGGATGGTGTAACCGTAGCAAACTTATGCGTTTTAAAACGAAAATGCATTAGTGTAAACGGGGCCTCAGTCTACACGCCGGAATACACACAAAAATTTGTCTCTAACCGGAAGAACGTTACTGCTCGAAATAATGCAAAAACAACCAATTTTCACTTTTTTGTGAAATATGTGTGTCCTATTAGTGTTTTTAGCAGCGTGGGACACATATATGAATGTCAACAGCTTAAAAAATGTGTTTTGGTGTTTCGTGACCCTTTAAGATACAGTATTGATTCTTTATATCATTGGATATGTTTTTTTTTATAATCAGAAAGGGGATGCAATTTATTTTAACAAGATGAAACATAATTTCTTCCCTCACAGAACCTACAATGTGAGTAATCTAATTGAGGACCTGAAAGCCCTGTACAGAATTGCAGGTTTGGAAGGAAAGGGCGTGACCTTCATCTTCACCGACAATGACATCAAAGATGAAGCTTTTCTGGAGTACATGAACAACGTTCTGGCATCTGGTGAAGTCTCAAACCTGTTTGCCCGAGACGAAGTGGATGAGATCACCCAAAGTCTTATTCCAGCCATGAAGAAGGATCTCCCACGCTGCCCACCCACCATCGACAACCTCTACAACTACTTTCTATCCAGAGTACGCAGTAACCTGCATGTGGCTCTTTGCTTTTCTCCAGTTGGCGAGAAGTTGCGTTCGCGTGCCCTGAAGTTCCCCGGCCTCATCTCTGGGTGTACTGTGGACTGGTTCCAGCGATGGCCACGAGATGCTTTGGTAGCCGTGGCTCAGCACTTCCTCTCCAACTATTCACTGCGCTGCTCGGACGAGGTGAAGAGGAGTGTGGTGCAAACAATGGGAACGTTCCAAGACATGGTAGCTGAGATCTGCACAGAGTACTTCCAGCGCTTCAGACGTCAGACCTATGTGACGCCCAAATCCTACTTGACATTTATTAAGGGTTACCAGATGATTTACACGGAAAAGATTGAAAACGTTGGGGTGCTCGCTGAACGAATGAACACAGGTTTGCAATTGTATTTTTTACAGCTAAAATTACGTTTTATTACCACATTAGATTAAGAATTTTTGAGTTTTTGTTTTTGTATTTTATAGTAACTTGTTTGAGTAAAATGTAATTTTGGTTTTGCTCTGAAAGCTCTTGATGATATTCAGGGCTCGAAATTGCGACCATTTTGGTCGCATATGCGCCCGAAAATTAATCAATGCAACCTTGTAATATATATGAGAGCATTAGTGCGACTGCATGTAATGGTTGTAGTGCGACCTGTTATGATTTTGTCTAAAATAGTGCTGAATCGCACTTCCCTGCCACTATATTGGTTCATATTAGCTGTCAGTCACTCATGGTATTCTGCTGTCAGGTGACAGGGAAGGAGCTTTTATGACCACGGGAAATGCAAACGGCTAAAGAGTGAAAACTTAAAGCACACAGGTTTGCAAACCCCACCTAAAGTTAAGGCGCAGATGAGAGCGATCATGACGTGGTGAATATTGATCCGCCAGCTGAGATCAATCAAGTACGTGTTTTCGGAGAAGGCGCCCGAATCTCGATGCGTTGCGTTTTACTGCGTGTTCAGCGCAAATGTCCGCTAATAGTCAAATCTAATACTGTACATATCATCGCCAAAGAAGCTCGCCTTTACTAAGTTTACACTGAAACTGCGGTTTATAACAAAGAGCAGTATTGCGCCGGTGGTCATCGCAAGAATCCTGCTCAACCTGCTCATAAATTGGGTCCGCTGACTCGCCTGCTTTTCCACAAACACAGAAAAATGAAGATCAGCTCAGACTAAACATTTAAATTGACACAATCTGAAACCAAAACTTTTAAAGAGTGATAGAAGTAAGACTTTCTTTTGTCTATTCTTTCTTGTGGTGTATATTATTTTTTCTATTTATTTACTGATGACTGTTTTGCAGCTTTCAGCATTGAATTGAATTATGTATTATAATCTTTAGTTTGTTTTGTAGCAAAACTATTATTTATTAAATTGACATGCATATAAAAACAGCAGTACAAAATAAATATTTCTTACTGCAACGCTTCATTTTGTTTGAAGCAAACCATACATTTATTTTTCATAAAGTATCAGACTTTTTATAGCAGATAACCTACATTCAAGCACATTCAAGACAACATCATAATGAGAAATGTAATTCATTGTTACTATTATTGTCATTTTCATCATCATTAATATTCTATAATTATTAGACAGTAATTTTGGAATTATTGCACACAAATATCAATGTCATCTCAGCATTAGTTAGATAGTTGTTTCTGGTTTTTGTTAGTCCTAATTGATGTTGTTTTAAAATACAATAAATCCCTTAAAATACCATTTGCAGTGGTGCTCATTCATTTTTGGTGGGTGCTCCTAAATTTTTTTTGCTGCTCCTAAATATTTGAAGTTGGGAGCACCGCTGCTACCAAGTAAAAAAGTTAATTTCGAGCCCTGATATTTATTCAGAGTTTAAAATAAAAGTGTTGCCATTTAGAGCATAAAATTAACATTGCAAAATACGCTAAATGGCAATAATCAATTTTGTTTTATGAAACTTTATTAGACCTTTATAAAATAAAACAAATATTAACATTTTACTTAAACACATACCTAGTAGATCCAGTATATATATATATATATATATATATATATATATATATATATATATATATATATATATATATATATATATATATAATATATATACAACAGTTCTGTCTGGTTCTCGTATCTGATTGTCTGATAGCCAAGAGATATTTAAAGAGCCCATATTATACATGAAATAGGGTCATATTTTGGTTGTAAGGGTCTCCAACAACAGTCTAATATGCATGCAAGGACAAAAAACACTTTCATAGTCTAATAATCTGCATCTATTTTTACCTAATTATCCCAGCGACTCCCATATGAATCGTCCAGTGATTCATTTGTTCCCAAACCCCTCCTTAGCGCGAAGATAATCTGCGCTGATTGGACCAATGACAGTCTGTTGCGATTGGTTGACACTGACTGACTTCAGCGAGAGACAGAGTGAAATGCCCAGCAGCTAATCAACAATATAGAAGTAGTCACAGTGCATACATGCTCGATAGTGTAAGGCGTGGATTTTAGCTGCCAGTGGGTGAATGTAAATACAGACGATGGACTTGAAAATACAGACGACTATTAAATAACTATTTTATTGAGCAAAAACTCCAAGAACTGGCGAGGAGATCTCCTAGCTTGTCACACTCTGCTCTTTTCACAGACACACACACACACATATTGCAATCGTCTGCGCACACACACACACACACACACACACATAACCCTCCTCCGGACGACAATGTGCACACACACACACACACACACATAACCCTGACTGAATCCCAATCTGCTTATAACTGCCCATTAACAGGAATATTTCTATATACACACTATTGTATGTATAGCTATATTGCAGCATGTGCAAGTTTAAATGTAAACTAAGCATGTTGTTAAATAAGTGTATATATGTGTATCAATAGTGTTGTGATGCGATGTGGTACTAAAGTATCTGTTTAAATCTAGACTTTAACATCTCATCTATAGGTCTGGAGCGGCTCATGGAGGCTGAACTGTCAGTAAATGAGCTTCGTGTGGAGCTGAGAGAGAAGGAGAAGGTGTTGGAGGTGGCTAAACAGAAAGCTGGTGAAGTTCTGCTGGAGGTCACAGCCAAGGCACAAGCTGCAGAGAAGGTGAAGGCTCAGGTCCAGAAGGTGAAAGATAAAGCCCAGGCAATCGTGGATGAGATTGAAGGGGACAAGAAGGTGGCCGAGTCCAAACTTGAGGCTGCCAAACCAGCATTGGAAGCATCCGAGGCGGCTTTAAAGGTAGATGGAGGTCACTGAATAGTATCTCATGCTGACTTAAAGACTTACATTTAATTAATCTTATCTCCTCTGTGGTTTGTAGACCATCAAGCCTGCAGATATCGCAACAGTGCGTAAACTAGGAAAGCCTCCACATCTGATCATGCGGATCATGGACTGTGTGCTGCTGCTGTTCCAGCGGCGGGTTGATGGGGTCACCATGGACCCTGAGAGACCCTGTGTGAAACCTTCATGGGGTGAAGCTCTTAAACTGATGAATAACTCTGGATTCCTTAGCATGCTGCTCAACTTCAACAAGGTCAGGCGACACGGTGATGCTAATCAAACCTTTATTTTTGTAACGTGGAGACTGACATGGAGGGATCCATTTTGCAGTATTTATTAGACACAGTTCAAACACAAACATCCAACACGCACTAAAGTGCGAACTCACATCAACAGCATTCAATAAAGATCGTGGGGCTGGCGGCTGACACACACAGAGTGATTTACCAGGCATAGATCAGTGGCAGGCAGCGTGGTTCAGAGTCCTTATAACAGGTGTGGGTCGTGGGCAGGCAGCTTGGTACAAAGTCAGTGTAACAAGCGCGGGTCGTGGGCAGGCAGAAGACAACTCAGGGTCAGAAACAGTCCAGGGTAATGCACAGAAGATCAGGCAGGGAATAACGCTCAGAAATGTTGGCCGTGGCTGAACAAGACTTTGCAATGAACTGTGGTTTGAGTGTGGCTTATATAGGGAGCGTGGGTCGTTAACGGGATTCAGATCAGGTGTGTGCACAATCAGTCTAGGTGGATGATGTAATGCTTAAAAGTCCGGGGATGGCGGCCTCTGCTGGCCAGCGAGGGGAATGACTGGGACCGAGTCGGTGACAATTTTGGATGTATTAGAAATATGGTGTGAAGTAGAGATCTGCGCGGGACTAAATTTTGAATCCCGCTCCCACCCGCACCCGCCAAGTTTTAGCCCGAACCCGACCGCTCCCGCTTATATTAAGAATTTATTGTCCCGCTGCCCGACCCGCCCCGTTTTCTGCCCGCCGCGCCTGATCCCGCTAAAGAGCGGGGGAGAACAAAACCGAAAATCCCCCAGCTATACAGTCCAGACAGCCAAGCTGTCTGTATAAACACACACACACACACACAGCACCAAGCACACACACACAGACAAATCTCTCTCTCTCATAAGCGCGCGCGCACTAACACACACACAAGCACCAAGCAGACACACAGGCGTTTGCTATTATATCAACTCAAAGGCTTGTAATACCATGTATCAAGTACCAATGTAATACCAAAAGGTTTTATATAAAGGTATATAAATACTGAGTCGCGCCAGCTCCGGGCCGCAGCGCACATTACTCTCGGGCCGATTCCGGCGCGGATGCGGCAGCGTCGGCTCGCTTACGGCCGCCGCATCTGGCCCGATTGATTCGGGCCGGAATTGGGCAGTGAGTCCACAAGCATCCGGAGTCCGGCAGCCGGAGCCGGGCTGAGTGGTAAGTCTTCGGCAGGCGAGAATCTAGCCGGAACTGGCCCGAGTGTATTTTGCTATCTGGGAAAGCTCTCTCTCTCTCTCTCTCTCTCTCTCTCTCTCTCTCTCATTTGCGCGCACGCGCACTGACATACACACACACAAGCACCAAGCACACACACACACAGGCAAAGCTCGCTCTCTCTCTCTCTCTCTCTCTCTCTCTCTCATTCGCATAGCAATATCCGCGATACTGCTAGACAGCCCGCTCCCGTCCCAAATTAAACCCGTTACCGACCGCTCCCGCGATTTATTCTGAAATTTATTCCCGCGCCGCAGAAATCTGGTCGGGTCCTGCGGCACCCGCGGGACAGCCGCGGGAATGCAGACCTCTAGTGTGAAGCTACACTGGCCTCATGGTTCAGCCAACTGACCCAGCCGAGGCTCAAACCAGCGACCTTTTTTCTATGAGGCAATTGTGCTACCCACTGCACCACTGTGATGCCCCTCAATTTGATCATGTTATTCTTATTAATTGTCTTATTTATCTAAACCTTTTGAGGCCCTTTGATTTAGAACAGTTGATCTACATGGATCTCCATGATTATTTGGTGATGGCCATTTGAGCTCTTTAGCTGTTCAAATGGAAACCCCCACATATATATTTATACACTGGACTTTATTAATATAGACTTTCTGCCATTCACATTATCACTGATGGAGTGCCCTCTGGGTTGTGGGTCAGTGATTGCTGGAACATGCATCTGTTCAGACTTTGTAAACAGGATTATGGTGTCCCGGTAATGATCCAAGTTTAGAGCAGCCTTAGGCCACTGTGACACAGTTACACAGCAGCAGTCAAAGTCAGATAGTTAGCACAATCTCAGTGGACTCAACAGTAGGACAGAAATAAAGCAAAGATTAAACATCCTAATCTCCATCTGACCTCATCTAACCTTTGATTTTCAGTCAAAACGATTACAGTTTTAGTCACTATTGGTTTCATAATCGAGTTTAGACTGCAGAATAGATTCTCACTGTGTAAAAGCATGACACTTTCCTTGACATTTCTGTTTAAAGGACACTATTACAGAAGAGGTGGTTGAGCTGCTCTCTCCATATCTGGCGATGGAAGACTATAACCTAGAAACAGCTAAAAGAACCTGTGGTAATGTGGCAGGTCTCTGTTCATGGACTGAAGCGATGGTGGAATTCTTTGGCATCAATAAGGAAGTTCTGCCCTTAAAGGTCATATTCATAGGCTGCACAAGTCATTCTGTAATATGTAATTAAGTATGTAATAAAGGTTTCTTGTGCTCAAGGCTGACAAATACTTTTTCATGTCATGGTTGAAATCTTGAAATGTGTTGTTTTGTATGACAGGCTAATTTGAAGCTTCAAGAGGCTCGTTTGACTGTAGCACAGGATGAACTATCAAGAGCCCAGGAACAACTGGATGCTAAGCAGAAGGAACTGGACGATGCTCAGGTGTTGTATAGGTGTCAATTTTTCAATAAATAATGACTTAATAAAAAGGCTTTCCATTGATAGATTTTAGGATAGAACAATGTTTGGCTGAGAAAAAAATAGATTTGACATTCTGCATTCTGAAGTACTGTTGAGAAATTTGCTTTAAACATGCTTTAAGCAATGCATAGTACTATTTTAGTTTTAAATTTGTTTTAATATATTTACAGTAGGACATTTACAAATGCATCCATGAAGCGTGATCTTAATATTCTTTACTTAATATTCTTATGATTTTTGACACAAAATAAAAATCATTAGTTTTGACCCATACAATATGTTTTTGGATATTGCCACATATATTGCTTGTGCAACTTAAGGTTTTGCGCTCAATGGTCACATAAATATAATAAGGGCTGGGAATCGAGAACCAGTTCTATTAAAAAAAAGAAATGTAGAAACTAATAATCTTCATGACTTTTCAATCCACAAAAATGGACAAGTTCTTTAAAGCTCTTAAATGGATGTAAATGCACACATTTACACAGGCGATGTATGACGCTGCCATGAAGGAAAAGCAGGACCTGCTAGATGATGCCGAGGCATGCAAAAAGAAAATGTCCAATGCCGTGGCACTTATAGATGGACTTGGTGGAGAAAAGGTTTCAAATTCTTTCCTTTTGGCTTCAAAGTACAATTAATGAGAGCTTGCACTGCACGTTCACTGCAAGATTTAAATAATGCATAAATCAACTAAACAGGCAAACTGTGCATGTGCTAATGTGTTTGTCTTAGATTCGCTGGACAGAGAGCAGTGCTCAGTTTGAGAGGCAAATCAAAGATATGGTCGGTGACGTGTTACTTGCCACTGGATTTCTGTCCTACTCTGGACCTTTCAACCAAGAGTATCGAACTCTTCTCATGCAACAGTGGAAGAAAGAGATGGATAGCAGGCACATTCCTTACAGCGAGGTATGTTCATTTCAACATAAAAATCCGGGTAACACATTACTTGAAGAGGGTGTTCATAAGAAGCCTTTAATGAAACCTTTAAAATTATTATACGACACGTGTCATGAATGTAAATGAGTATTTATGCATGCTTATAACATATGTCATCAAGTGTCATTCACTCAGTCATGACATTTTTAATGCACAGATGACATTTAGTTATGGGAACTTGATATAAACAAATACTTCACAACCTTTTTTGTCATTGTCATGACAACTTGACATTACCACGATGACAAAACTTGTCATAAATCTGTCATAAACATGATTGCTTTGAAACCATTATAAATATGTCATGAACTTTATAAGAGTCATTTTTTTAATCTTATTTATTATTTTTACTTTTTCCTACCTTTTTTAGGTTTTAATAAAAAAACAGATTGTTCCTCTGAAAAAAGTGATCAGAAAAAATATTTAAGATGCAGTTGTAATGCCGTTATGACAATCATGTTTATGACAGATTTATGACAAGTATTGTCAAGGTGACATGACAAACATGATATAACTGAGCAAATGACACTTAATAACAGTTATAATAGGCATGCATATAATCTCATTCACATTCATGATATGTGAGAAAGAGATCACGGACATTTTTTTTCCATTGGTAGTACGGCCTAAAAAACGTGTTTACAATGAACCCAGTCGGACTTCAGCTCTGCATTTCTAACAGCAACGAAAAAACAAAACAAAACATTTGGTCACTTAAATAAACTCAATGCTTCAGTGCAGATGGCTTATGAACACCTCTTCAAGTGAAGTGTTACCAAAATTGGTTATTCCATCAAGCTTGTTTTTACAGCTTTGAAATCTTATACAATGGTTTTCCCCCCAGAACCTGAATCTGATCAATATGCTGGTGGATAACGCCACTATAGGAGAATGGAACCTGCAGGGTCTCCCCAATGATGACCTGTCCATTCAGAATGGCATCATCGTGACAAAAGCTTCTCGTTATCCTTTGCTGATTGATCCACAGGGCCAAGGCAAGATCTGGATCAAGAATCGTGAACAGAGTAATGACCTACAGGTAAGATTTGCAAATCCATTTACATGACAACATTTTCAGCCAAAAGCTGGAAATGCTTTATTGTCTTTGCCTGTTCGTTTAAAAGACAACTGTTTTTTTTTTTTTTTGCCACCAGGTGACATCTCTTAACCACAAATATTTCCGAACTCACCTGGAAGACTGTCTGTCCCAGGGCAAACCTTTGCTCTTAGAGGATGTTGGGGAAGAGCTTGATCCAGTGCTGGATAACATTCTGGAGAAGAACTTCATAAAGACTGGAAAAACCTCCAAAGTATGTAACCTACTGTATAGAGTAATATTTATACTATATATATACTATCTTTGTTTTTCATGTTAGGTTAAAGTTGGGGACAAAGAAGTGGACGTGATGGAGACGTTTACTCTGTACATAACAACTAAACTGGCCAACCCCGCATATAGTCCAGAGATCAATGCGAAGACAGGAGTGGTGGATTTTACTGTCACTATGAAGGGCTTGGAAGACCAGTTACTCGGCAGAGTCATTCTCATAGAAAAAAAGGTAAGTGCCATTAAAAGGACTGTTCACCTAAAAATTATAATTTGCTGAGAAATTACTCACGATCAGATCATCCTTTATTAATTTTTTTTTCTTCAGTAGAACTTCCTTGGTGATTCTTAAAATGAAATTTAATGACTACCAGCATTTTGAAAAACAAAAAGCTAAATTAATACTCGCGGCTCCTGACTATACAGTGCATCCGGAAAGTATTCATAACACTTTTTATGTTACAGTCTCATTGCAAAATGGATTAAACTAATTTATTTCCTTAAAATTCTACACACAATACCCCATTATGACAATGTGAAAAAAAGATTTTTTTAAATTGTTGCAAATTTTTTCAAAATAAAAAAGCTGAAAAATCACATGTACATCAGTATTCACAGCCTTTGCTCAATACTTTATTGATGCAGCTTTGGCAGCAATTACATTCTCAAGTGTTTTTGAATATGATGCCACAAGCTTGACACACCTGTCTTTGGGAATGTTTGGCCATTCTTCTTTGCAGTACCTCTCAAGCTCTATCAGGCTGGATGGGACAGTGTTGGGATAGTGTACAGCCATTTTCAGGTGTCTCCAAAGATGTTCAATAGGTTTTAGATCTGGGCTCTGGCTGGGACACTCAATGACATTCACAGAGTTGTTGTGAAGCCACTCCATTGATATTTTAGCGGGGTACTTAAAGTCATTGTCCTGCTGGAAGATGAACCATCGCCCCAGTTTGAGGTCAAGAGCACTCAAGAGCAGGTTTTCATTCAGGATGTCTCTGTACATTGCTGCATTCATCTTTCCCTCTATCCTGACTAGTCTTCCAGTTCCTGCTGCTGAAAAACATCCCTACAGCATGATGCTGCCACCACCATGGTATTAGCCTGGTGATGACCAGTGCCTGGTTATCTCCCAACATAACGCCTGGTATCCACTCCAAAGAGTTCAATTTTCATCCCATCAGACCAGAGGATTTTGTTTCTTATGGTCTGAGAGTCCTTCAGATGCCGTTTGGCATTTCCAGACAGGGAGTGACTTCCGTCTGGCCACTCTACCTCTCTACCACTCTTGGTGGATTGCTGCACAGATGGTTGTCCTTCTGCAATGTTCTCCTCTCTCCACAGACGAACGCTGGAGCTCAGACAGAGTGACCATCGGGTTATTGATCACCTCCTTGACTAAGGCCCTTCTCCCCCAATCACTCAGCTTAGATGGCTGGCCAGCTCTTAGAAGATACCTTGTGGTTCCAAACATCCTCTACTTACGGATGATAGAGGCCACTGTGCTCATTAGACCTTTTGGAGCAGCAGAAATTTTCTGTAACCTTCCTCAGCCTTGTGCCTTGAGACAATCCTGTCTCGGAGGTCTACAGACAATTCCCTTGTCGTCATGCTTGGTTTGTGCTTTGACATGCACTGTCAACCCTGGTACCTTATATAGACAGGTGTATGCCTTTTTAAATCATGTCCAATCAACTGAATTGACCACAGGTGAACTTCAATTAAACTGAAACAACTCAAGAATGATTAGTGGAAGCAGAATGTACCTGAGCTCAACTTAAAGCTGCACGGCAAAGGCTGTGAATACTTCTGTGCATGTGATTTTTCAGGTTTGTTTTTTTGTGATAAAATTGCAACTATTTTTTTGCATAATATTATAGTTATTACATATATGTAGACAGTTTTTTTTTATTATTTCATTAGATTTTTTTAAAAGTTTTTAGTGATTATTTTTGGCCAATTAGCTTTAATTAATTTTATTAATAAATTAAATAATAAAAAAATATTTTTAATAATTACTGTACATGACAAGTAGATGCTTTGATAACTACATGATTTCTAAAATATTTTACTTTATTTTTATTCTTGCTATTTTTCATTTAAGTGGCACAATTGTTTTTTTTTTTTTTCATTTTAGTTTAATTTAACTACCTGATCTACCTAATTGTTAACCCTGATTTCAGAAACATGTTTTAAATATTAACTTAGTTTATTTGCATTGCATTAATAATATTTGAATACTCTATACATAATATTAAAACCACCATAGTATTAAGACCAAATTAAATGTCTGTTTTTTATTATTTTCCAATTAAGGAAATGGAGGCTGAACGTGTGAAGCTCTTGGAGGAAGTGACATCAAACAAGAGGAAGATGCAGGAGTTGGAGAGCAACCTTCTGTACAGGCTGACCAGCATTCAAGGCTCTCTAGTCGAGGACGAGTCTCTTATCGAAGTGCTCAAAGTCACAAAGACTACTGCACAGGAGGTACGTCCTCTTTTTTATTTATTTATTTATTATTGTTATTATTTTTATATATACAATTTTAACAATGCAGATTAAAAACAGGAAAAAAATCATCTATAAACATCTATATATCATCTAAATATTCATCTCAGTGCATAAAATTTCGCAAACAAGAAAAATAGATAAAAAGAATAAGTAAATAGTTACATTTAGCATGTATCATCCTTCATTTTTAAACTGAGGCAGCTGTAATATTGTTATATCTTATCTAAAGTTTAGCCTCCACCTTTTATGAATGAAATGGAGTCTGTTTTAAACTCTAGGTGAGTCAAAAGCTGACAGTTGCTGCAGAGACAGAAATTAACATCAACCACGCTCGAGAGGAGTACCGTCCAGTGGCCACCAGAGGGAGCATCCTGTATTTCCTGATTGTGGAGATGAGTCTGGTCAATGTGATGTACCAAACCTCCCTCCGCCAGTTCCTGGGCATCTTTGACATGTCGATGGAGAAGTCGCCGAAGTCTCAGGTTACAGCCAAAAGACTTGAAAACATCATGGAGTTCCTCACTTTCGAAGTGTTTCGCTACACAGCTCGAGGGCTCTATGAAGATCACAAGTTCCTTTTCACGCTGCTTCTGGCCTTGAAAATAGACCTGCAGACCAAAAATATTTCCCACAACGAGTTGCAGACATTCATCAAAGGTTTGGATCAAGTTTTTAGACTAATTTAAAGGGTGATATGTTAAATCAACTGCACAATTCCCATATAGAAATGTTGTGTATGACAGTATGCAGATTACATACAGTACACGACATTCAAGTTCTTATTGTCATATTTTCAACATATACTTCTTAATAATATGCAAAAATGCCAATTTATAAATATTTATATATACAGTACTGTGCAAAGGTTTAGTTCACCACCAGCCTAAGGCTTTTGCACAAATCTATCTATCTAAAAGCACTGTCGCCTCACAGCAAGAAGGTCGCTGGTTCGAGTCCTGGCTGAACCAGTTGCCATTTCTGTGTGGAGTTTGCAAGTTCTCCGCATGTTCTATTGGGTTTCCTTTATGTGCTCCGGTTTGTGTTTGTATCAATCTGAGAGTGTATGGGTATTTGCCAGTACTGGGTTGTGGCTGGATGGGTATCCGCTGTGTAAAACATATGCTGGAATAGTTGGTGGTTCATTCCACTGTGGCATCTCTTATAAATAAAGGGACTAAGCCGAAAGAAAAATATTCAGAAGAATTTTTTTTTTGGAATCAAAAGACTAGCATCAACATACTGCCTATGATATTGCCTATACATACTCTATATAATATTCAGGTCTCTTTGGAGGCCGTTTCATGCCTGTCTTTGTTTCATCAGCTATTTTTCTCTTCAAATATGAATTCATTACATTAGCAGTCTGTTTGGGATCATTATCATGCTGAAATTAAAACTATTACAAATGAGGTGATTTCAATCCTTGGGCCTGTGTTGTTCACCCTGCATATATGCTACCCTGGCTTCCGTTTTCAATAAATATAAAGTTTCCTTTCATCTATATACAGATGACACTCTATTTTCCTTTACGACCCCTGCTGGCTTGATTAGATGAGCTTAAACTTTGGCTCTCATGCAATTTTTTAAATTTAAACGAAAATAAAACTGAAGTGATTGTTTTTGCGCACAAAGAAAACTCTCTGTTAAATGTCAATGTGGGATCTTTAGCTCCACATATTACCCAGTGTGCAAGAAATCTCGCTGTTATGTTTGATGAAAACTTAAAATTCGACAAACAGATTAGTACTGTTGTAAAATCCAGCTTTTACCACCTCAGACAACTGTCTAAAGTCTAGCCATTTTCATCCCAGAAAAATTTTCAAACAGTGATTCATTCCTTCATAACAACTTGTCTGCATTACTGTAACTCTCTCTATTTTGGTATTTCTCAGTCTTCAATCTCTCGTCTGCAGCTGGTACAAAATGCGGCTGCTAGACTACTTTCTGGCACTCGCAAGTATGAGTCAGTAAATCCTTTTTTAGCTGCACGTCACTGGTTACCCATTAAATACAGAATTGATTTTAAAATTGTATTATTTGTTTACAAAGCCGTCAATAATCTTGCTTCTCAGTACCTTACTGACTTGTCTGTATATCCCCATCTCAGTCATTGAGATCTTATGATCTCAATTTACTCACCGTGCCTATAGCACGCCTTAAAAAACAAGTTGATCAAGCATTTGCTGTTGCTCTACCAATTCACATTAGACTTTCCCCCTCCATTTCTAATTAAATCCATTTTATTTTCCCTTTTAATACTTCTTAATCACTGTTTTATTGCTTTAGTTTGTTAAATGTTTTGTATTCTGTTTTCTTTTCTCCCTTTAGTACTCCTATGTAAGGCTCTTTGGTCAACTTTGGTTGTTTTTTAATTGTTGTGCAATTGTTGTGCACTTTGGTTGTTTTTTGGTTGTGCATTTTAAATATTTATTGTATTGTATTGTATTCTAGTAGGAATTACATGACGAATTAAAACCTGTCTGAACTTTTCAGCATTCACAATCCCATCAATTCAGGCAGGCACGTGCACACATAGGGCTCAACCTGTGCAGTGCACATGCCCTTATTAGTCTTGGATAGAAAGTGCCCTTCCAAAATGATTAAAAGTTCCCCCCCCTTCTTTACAGTACGCGCGCGACAACACCGCTCTTCAGTACTGACAACAGCTTTGGCTGAAATGCAGATCACCCAAGACAGATACTGCAGTATTTTTCACTCATTCATTTACTAAAGAGAATGAGAAGCCATATGTAATTTCATTATATCCTCAATAGAACAACAAATGGAACTGGAGTCTAAGAATTTTGCACAGTACTGTATAATTGTATCTAATATAATTAAACATATTTGAACATTTTTTTGTATATTCGTGATTCAGTATTTTATAAAATCTCTTAATACTATGTAATACTTCACTTTACCTTTATTGATTTTTTGAGGACAAGTAATTCCTTTTCTTTCTTCTTTCTTTCAGGTGGAGCCTCTTTGGATCTAAACTCTGTCGAGGCCAAACCAAAGCGCTGGATCCTGGACACAACATGGCTAAACCTGGTGCAGTTGTCCAGCCTGCACACATTCGCCACTCTCCTGACCCAGGTGGGCCGCAACGACAGGGCTTGGAAAAGCTGGTTTGATGAAGCCACTCCAGAAGAGTCTCCTCTTCCAGACGGTTATGAGAGCCAGCTGGATGCTTTCCGCAAACTGCTGCTGATACGAAGCTGGTGTCCTGACCGCACTATTGCACAGGTGCTGGAAAACCTTTTTAAGCTTCATTGCTATCTTAGTATTTTTTTAAATATTTATTGATTATTATTAATTTTTGTAATAGTATGTTTTTATTTTTAGATCTGTGGTTTTGGTGTTTTATAATAATACAATTTATTATTATATATATTTTAAATTTTTACCTTTTTGTTTATTCTTATTTTACAGGTATTAAGTTATTATTACAGTTTATTTACAGTTTCAGTACTTTAATATATATCGAATAAAAATATTATATACGACATAAAATATATATATTTATATATACATGTTTTGATTTTGGGGTCTCCAACAAAAGTCTAATATGCATGCCAGGTCAAAAAATACTTTCATTGTCTTATAATCTGCATTTATTTTTACCTCATTATCCTAACGACTCCCATATGATTTGTTCAGCGATTCATTTGTTCCCAAACCCCTCCTTATGATGCTAATCTGCACTGATTAGTCCGATTACCCAGTCTATTGCGATTGGTCGACTGCGTTAAGCGTGAGACAGAAAGAAAAGCCCACCATGGCTTATTAACAATTCTGAAGTAGTCAGAGTGCAGAGTGTATGTGTGAGCCCAATGCAGGACTGCATTAAAGCAATACAGTTTAACACCAGCATATTGCTCTGTTCTTAACCATGACATACATTCAGTATTAATGCACACAGCAGCAAAAGCTGAGCTATTTTGAAACTTGACCATCGCACATGTGTAGGAACAGATGATGGTGCTCATAGCAACAACAAACGGCAGTTGATTGTGAGCTCACAAACGCATTTAAATCAAGAAAGCGGCATGTGTCGCGTTTTCAACATGGCTTTAGATGCAATATGAGAATATAAAGAGTTAACCAGATACAGTACAAGCCACGTGGAGCGATTACAAGTAACAAAGCACTATTAAATACATAATTTGCAAGCTAGAGGAAACAAGGAAGCAACCTTTTTAATCACATTTAAGTTATTTACACTTGTGAAGTGGAGGAAGGAGCTGATGAACTGTGTACTGAAGTTCCTGTCAACCTCTGACAAAGTCCCATACATCAATATATTTTTTGGATCCTTTAACAAATGGCCAACGAATCTTCTGTTGTAAGCGTGTAGATTGCTGAAGCACTCATCAGAAAAATGACAGGACCACAGCACAAGGCTGGGGCTATAATGCTGAGGTATTTTTGCAAAAATAAACGTCAATCACTGACTCTTCACAGCCTCATCTTTGGGTAGGAAAAATAACACTAACTTTCCATCAAACATCCGAGCACAGGATCTTTGCGCCATGATTCAACAGGGATTTGCTACAGTGTTTGTCTTCCTTTTCTTTCTTTGGTGTTTGTGGGCGGGGCCGGGGGTTTAAATTTTCCCAGGTCTGTGCGCGCAACAAATGGGTGGGGCTCAAAGATTCATTACCCCGACGATTCCTTTGAACCACTCTGAATTGACTCTTTTATAGATGAATCAATAGCTTTAAACACGGCGCACTTTCAGATTTATGCCTTAGCTGGATATTTCACTTCACTTAGAACTGTGTTACACACTGCATGAAAGGTCATTTTCAAAAACCCATAATAGGGGCTCTTTAAAACAAACCTACTGACAATGCCCTAGTTAATTTTTTTTTTAATTCTGTCAATGTCTAATATATTTTATTAATAAATGTTTTTTTTTTATTAAAGTCACCAATCAATTAAAAATTTGTTTGGACAAAATTGTCACACATCATACAAAATAAACGAAAAATACAAAATAAGGTGTAAAACTGCAAGTGATAAATAACATTTTTCTAAGTATCTTTTTTTTTCCCTTTGATCAAAAAAATTTCAACTAGGCCTTGTCCGGTACACCAGAAATCATTTTGTATTCATAATATGCTAAAGTTCTATAGAAGTTGTATAGAAAAATACAAATTTTTTTTTTTTTTTTGCCTGATTTCCATCCTTGACAGCAAAAGTGTCTGTTCAAATTTTTTGTGAGCACTAAGAAGCAACAATGTGTGTGCGTATTTCCCTTTTAAGACCCTCTTGTCTAAAAAAAGTTGCCATGAAATGAATTTGAACAGCTGATTGGCCACTGAGCTCCAGATTAGCACTTAACATTCCATAATTAAACCTGCTGCATATGACGTTTAACACCTCTGGGTCACAAAACCTCACACGAGACACCTGCTCAGGTCATTCTTTGCATTAAGAAAATAATTATTCATCATGTTATATGATGCCCTGTGATTCATCTGGGGAGTTTCCCTTCTTACATGATGCTGGGATCTGCTCCAGAATCCCTTTGACATTATATTGATTTAGGATATCATATTAGCATTTTTTTCTCTTTATAAAATGCATCTTTTGATTTGTTTGTTGTTCATAGTAACAGTAAAAGGATTGATGATGCTCCTTTGCTATGTCATGTATAACACAGCACCACCGATGTATTATGTGGTGTAAGTAATAGGGCTGCAAGATATTGGAAATATCTAGCATTGCAATATTTATTATTCTGAAAAAAAAAAAAAATAAATAAAAAAAAAAAAAAAAAATATATACATATATATATATATATATATATATATATATATATATATATATATATATATATATATATATATATATACAGTTGAATCAGAATTATTATACTCCCTTTGATTTTTTTTTTTTTGTCTGTTTTAAATATTTCCCAAATGGTATTTAACAGAGCAAAGAAATTTTCACAGTATGTCTGATAATCTTTTTTTCTTCTGGAGAAAGTCTTATTTGTTGTATTTTGGCTGTAATAAAAACAGTTTTTAATTTTTAACAACCATTTTAAGGTCAATATGATTGGCCCTTTTAAGCTATTTTTGTTTCGATTGTCTAAAGAACAAACCATCTTTATAAAATAACTTGCCTAATTACCCTAACCTGCCTTAAAAAACAGGAATTAAAAGTCACTTTAAGCTGTATAGAAGTGTCTTAAAAAATCTCTAGTCAAATATTATTTACTGTCATCATGGCAAATATAAAATAAATCAGCTATTAGAAATGAGTTATTAAAACTATTATGTTTAGAAACGTGTTGTAAAAAATCTTCCCTCCGTTAAACAGAAATTGGGCGAAAAAATAAACAGGATCAAGGGGGCTAATAATTCTGACTTCAACTGGATATATAGCGATATGAATAAAATTTCACCAGATGACTCGAATATCTCTATTTGGAAAGAATTGATCATTTTAGATTGCTTGGGCTGATTAGGGGAGCACATCTCAAGGTTATTATAGTTAACGAAAATTAACAAAAAATGAAAACTAGAATTAAAAAAACATTTTAGTTAACCGAAATAAAAAAACTGAAACTGCATTGTCTACATACAAAACTAACTGAAACTAGCTAAAATCATAGCAAAAGCGTCCTTCATTATTGGCTTTTTAAATGTATTTAATACTGTAAGCCTTTCAGAAGTAAATTTATTTATTTTGCGCTACAGGTGTTTGACTCGTACGGCACCTCAGAGTCTGTGATCCTGCTGCCATTGGCCAGATCAAGCCGGTCCTATACAGTCATTCTTACTGTTGCTCCTGCAACAAAAACAACAGCTGGACATGACAGCAGCTCGATGTGTATAAAACAACCTCAACATTGCATATCCTGCGATGGGAATATTGCAAATGATCACATTGCGATATCGATGCTAAAACGATATATTGTGCAGCCCTAATAAGTAGGCATATTATTTATTTACTGGTCATTAAATTACTACTGCTTTTTGGATTCCCTGCTAAAAGTCATTCAGTATAACAGTTACATTTTACACTTTCATCCGTTTTGCTCTTAAAATGACTCTGGTGTTAATTCCTAAGGGTTACATGCATGCTGTTTCTGTTTCCCAGTCCACCTGTTCACACTCCGTCACTCACTGGGTTATGCGAGACGCTATTTTAGCAGCAACCCTCACATGTTGTACCGTGATGAAAAGTTAATTGTCCATATATTTCCTGATGCATGTATAGACAAGATGAAGAAACTGAATCTTCTTAATCACTATAAAGTGCAGTATGATCATGATTATTTAATGATTTTGGTAGTCATTTGTTTAAAACACCCTCTTTGCAAGTCAAGATTGTCATAAACATTTCACTTGAGAAAATAATAGATTTCAGGTTCTTGTAATTGACATTTTAATAGGTGACAGCTTATTTTCCAGATTGCATACCAGATTGATAATTCTGTTGGATTGCGCTATGGTAAAGTGTAAATAACTCATGAAAGAAAAGCTAAGTTAAAACCAAGCACACCATTGTTTTTCTTGTAAAATTCTTGTAAAATGACCCTTATACTATTGAAAAAACAAAAGTTGGATCCAAGCTGGCCGACTACAAAATGGCCACCATGGTCACCACCCATCTTCAAAAGTTTGCCCCCTCACATATACTAATGTGCCACAAACAGGACGTTAATATCACAAACCATTCCTATTTTATTAAGGTGTATCCATTTAAATGGACCACCCTATAGATCCGTCTGTGCCACTTCAGTGGCGTTGCTTGCTGCAGAAGTTAGAAACTTTTCTAGCGCCAACAGAATCGTCAGCCAATCAGATCACTTAATGCAAATACAAGAGCTTAGACGAGAAGACAGTAATCGATTGCGGATTAATTTTATTTAAACTTCAGACACGCCCTCTTTCAAGCGTTGACGCTGAAGCCCCGTGTGAATCGGGCATTGTAACCGTTTAATAATCGGGCATTATTGCGTTTTAACCGCCTGCTGCGCCTCGTGTTTTTGCCTTGTGCTCTATGCTCCCACAGTTGAAAAAAGTCAACTCTTTGCGAATCAGTTGTGTCTTTTTCATTCTCCAGTCAAATAAAAGCAGAGGCGGGGTTTCTATTCAAGACAACTACTGAGACTTTTAAAGATGGAGGAGAGACTTTTGGTCGCTGTTTCGAGTTATCCAGCTGTGTCACTTCACAAATCTTGAATATCAATATTAACAATATCACAGAATCACTATATTATTAAATTCATTCATTCACTTTCTTTTCAGCTTAGTCCTTTTTTTAATCTAGGGTCACCACAGCGGAATAGCCGCCAACTTTTCCAGCATATGTTTTAAGAAGCAGATGCCCTTCTAGCCACACCCATACACTCTTGCATTCACACACATACACTATGGCCAATTTAGTTTATTCAACTCACCTGTACGCATGTCTGTTGACTGTGAAAGAAACTGGAGCACCTCGAGGAAACCCACGCCAACACGAGGAGAACATGCAAACTCCACACAGAAATGCCAACTGAGCCAGCCAGGACTTGAACCAGCGACCTTTTTACTGTGAGGCAACAGTGCTAACCACTGAGCCACCGTGCTGCCTCAATATTAAAAACATCTATTAAATATATCTTTTAATATTGTGTTTGTGATTAAGAATCGCTAAATTTAACATGCTTATCTATATATATTTTTATAAAGTATTACAGCATGCATCTACCTCAAACAGCTGCTGAGCAAAGTCAAAGCAATGACAAGAAGTTGCTAACTTCTGACTCTGTGTGTGCCTGTGTTATTAAAAGCTAAATATTTATACATAAACTTTACTTAATTTAAATACATGTTGTTGAAGTCTATCAATTTCATTGAGCTAATTATAATCCAACAAATTGTTTAATTAAATTTGATTGTAATTTAGCTGCTTTTTTATGCTAGGCACGTAAATATATTGCTGAATCAATGGGGGTGAAGTACGCAGAGGGAGTGATTCTGGATATGGAGGCCATGTGTTCAGAAGCAGAGAAGAGGATACCTCTGGTCTGCTTTCTGTCTATGGGTTCTGATCCTACAGAGAACATAGATAGGCTCGCCAAGTCGAAGGTACAAGTATTATTACAAATTTCTCTGGAATGCATCATTCTGATTGATCAGCTATTTAAACAGCCAAGGTTTGATACGATTTCTATTATGCAGGGCATTCCTTGCAGGCCGATCTCCATGGGACAGGGACAGGAAGTGCATGCAAGAAGGCTTCTGGCACAGAGCATGTCTGATGGAGGCTGGTTACTTCTGCAGAACTGCCATCTGGGATTGGACTTCCTGGATGAAGGTCTAGAGACAGTCACAACAACAGAGAACATCCATGACAATTTTAGGTTGTGGGTGACTACAGACGTGCATCCCAAATTCCCCATAAACTTCCTGCAGTCTTCTATTAAATTCACCAATGAGCCTCCGCAAGGTAGAAAAAGGGAAAGCTGTTTTTTTTTTTTTTTTTTTTTTTGAGGTGGGGGGGGGGGGGGGGGTACATATTTAATATTGTGACTAAATATAAATGATACAAGAGTAAAAGAGGAAATGTGTGATCTGTAATGCAGGGGTGAAGGCTGGACTCAAGCGGACATATAATAGTGTGACTCAAGAGCAGTTGGAGATCACAAACATGCCTCAGTGGAGACCACTTTTCTATGCTGTGGCATTTCTGCACACCACGGTCCAGGTCAGGACAGCTGTTAAACCACGTCACTCACTGCTCATAGTGACACACTGCTTTAAATACTCACATCATCAGTTTGTGTGTGTGTGTGTGTGTGTGTGTGTGTGTGTGTGTGTGTGTGTGTGTGTATATGCAGTGGGGGAAATAAGTATTCAACACATCACCATTTTTCTCAGAAAACATATTTCTAAAGTTGTTGTTGTTCTACAGCTTGATTTTCTTTCTCTGAAAGCATTTGAGAGTTTCCTTGGCTGTGTTTTGGATCATTGTCTTGCTGAAATGTCCACCCTAGTTTAATCTTCAGCATCCTGCTAATGTAGATGTTGGACTGAAGCAGCTGATATTCATTTACAATGATGAAGGGCAGAGGGTTGCTGAAGAACTACTGAGAGATTTTAGCTGCTGTCTAAGCTTTCACTGTCGTTTTACACCTTCCTTTCTTCATGTGTTCAGTATTTTCCCTGAGTTTTATTACACATAATTTCATTTGTTAATGAATTAGATTTGTTTTCTTTGCATATATGGATTTCTTTGGTTGTTACCAACATCTGTTGAAAATTTCAAGTCCGCAGCACCTCAAATGCAAGTTTATTTTACATTCTATGGCAGAAACACCAGTGAAGCTCGCTAGATCCTCCTGTATGGACACGTGTCCATTATAATACACTCACAAGACATTACTTTGGACAACTATATGGATATACTAAATAGTTCACTCAAATATACACAAAGAAATACTTTCACTTCACTCATACTTTGTGAATGAAAAGAATTCCGAGTACTAGTTGCAGACGCGATCATGAGACTGTTTTTGTGCCGAGTTTGAAGTAATCAATCATAAAACAGGAGAAGGTGCATTACTTCCATCATTAATATAACATATTATAATGAAATCCAATAATTATAGTAAAATATTGAGAGTTAATTTTGGTGTGCACACCTGTAGGATCACTGAGGCCCACTAGGGTTAAGAATCCGGTTACGAATCCCTTCATTATCTAATGATTTGAGGGGTTTTTCATCTATATTAATGGTGCAACGACAGAAACATATTACTATTTTAAATTAAAATTATATATTTAAAATCATCATTATTTTATTTTACACTACAATGCTTTAAATTTAAATCATTTTAAATTAAAAACATATCAAAATAATATCAAGATTTTTAGTTTTAACTTATTATACAGCCCAATTCATTTATTTTCATTTTACATTTAGTCTAATTATTATTTAGCTTTTCATCGACCCCTTGCAGTTCTCCCACATTTGGGAAACCCTGTAATAATGTCTTTTAAACATTTATTAGTAAAACATTCTATAACATATGAATATTGTATAACAGTTTATTCTTTTAAAATAATCACAGCTGTTTCAGCACACAGCTGTATAAGACATGTTGTCCTAACTGTCATATTCCTGCTAAAGGAGAGACGCAAATTTGGTCCACTCGGCTGGAACATTCCCTATGAGTTCAACCAGGCTGATTTCACCTCCAGTGTCCAGTTTGTGCAGAACCACTTGGATGACATCGACATCAAGAGAGGAGTCAACTGGAATTGCCTGCGCTACATGTTGGGAGAGGTACAATTTGGACTTTCTACTGTGCTTTTGTTCATTGTTTATTTGACAAACCTGCTTATTAGTACTTTTGGTTGTGTAGGTTCAGTATGGTGGACGTGTCACAGACGATATGGACAAACGCCTGCTCAATACTTTTGCTCGCATCTGGTTTAGTGAGAGCATGTTTGCGGACAAATTCTGTTTCTACAAAGGATATACTATACCAAAGGCCAGAATGCTTCAGGATTACCATGCACATATTGATGCTCTGCCATTGGTTGATACACCTGAGGTAATACAGCCATTAATTATTCTTTTATTTATTTACTAGTGGTCACAAATTCAATAACCAATCGATTCTAACTTTGTTCAACAGGTATTTGGCCTCCATCCCAACGCTGACATCACTTACCAGACCAATTTGGCTAATGATACCCTGAGTACCATCCTCAACATCCAGCCCAAAGACAGCAGCAGTGGAGAGGGCGAGACTAGAGAGTCGTCAGTCCAGAAAATGGCCAATGAGATGTTAGAAAAACTTCCAGCTGACTATGTGCCACATGAGGTGAAAATGTGGTTTTAGGGCCACCCCCATGAGCCACTTCTAATGCTCAAAGCATATTTGTGTCAAATTTAAATGTAGAACATAATTTTTTCAATAACTTTATACAGGTGAAAAGCAGCCTACAAAAAATGGGAGCATTCCAGCCCATGACAATATTTCTCCGTCAAGAGCTTGACAGAATGCAGCGTGTTATTGGTCGTGTTCGCAGTACCCTCACTGACCTTAAACTTGCAATTGATGGTAAGTTTAAGAAACTTTCACTCACAATGAAAAAAAGTGCTTTAATTGTTTTGCAGGGGGCATTACATGAAAAATGTGTAATGTCCTTCATTTGTACACACATTACACATCTGTATTAATCACAAGATTGCTACTGCTGTCAAGAAAGCTACCCAGGCATATTGGGTTATTTTTGCAGGCATATTTTTGCAAAATATGAAATACGATGCTCTGGTGTCGGTTCATTGCAGCATGCGGTGACAAATCCACTAGAGGTCTAGTTTACCATAATTTCTCGTTGTTTTTTTATCTGTTTTTTGGAACCGTTCTTCATCAAACCCACTTCATGTCCCAAGTATGACCCCATACAAGGCGAGCCACTAAGCAAACTGACCACTGTGGAAAAGTTGTGTGTATGGTGATAAGAGAGTGAGGCAAATGCATTCGATTACAAATCATAGATGCGTTTAAGTTGTTTTGTGGTATTTATTTGGTGCCATTCAACGAACCGCACCAAAACAATACTTTATTTGCTGATAATAAATAAATGCCTGTAAATGTCAATAGTGTGAAATGGAACAAAACTGGAGGCCATGTAGCCTTCAAAACTGCTAGTCAATGTATAAACGGATTCTTGCAAAAATTTATCCCTGGGCACATATTTCCAATGAACCTGTGTTGCAACAAAGACCATTTAATGATGTTCTTATCAGGGTTGTTCCAATACTGATACTGGTATCAGAAATACTCGCCAATACTGCAAAAATTCTGGCATCAGTATCAGCAAGTTTTGAAACCATCAACCGATCCTATACCATATTTTTAAATGAGATATATGCCTGCTATAGCTTTGCTTAACACTGCAAACCAGGAGTCAGTCTTCTTTGAAGAGGGTAACACACTATTTTATTTTTAAAAATTCAGAATTTTAAGTTTCAAAGAGGTTATTTCCTAGATTTCTTTATTTTTTGCACAGATTTTAATACAGTTAAACTGTAAAACTTGAATTTTTTTTTCAGTTTGATTTGTGGCTGAACTTGTTTCAGTAAAGTGCGGTAAATAATTTTACTCTTGGATGTCTGATAATAAAAATGTCTGAGAAATTGTGAAGCACACTGTAAATGAATTCTGTCAATTTATACAGAGTTAGCAGTATACACAACTGTTTCTACAGATACACACTCGGCTGTTGGCTCACTAGGTATCGCTGATAACCTCAGAAATCAGGAAGGAAAAAGTGTATAGAAATATCCCTAGTTCTTATCCTAAATCCAGACAAATTTCATCTTCAAAACTGAAACGTGCAAAAAAAATTATATTCAGGGTTCATGCGGTCATGGAAAACATTTAAAAGTCATGGAATTTTGACATGGCATTTTCCAGGCCTGAAAAAGTTTTGGAAAAACAGAAAAAACCCAAAAAGTTTTGGAAAAGTCATTGAAAACAGACATCTGTATACTTGAATATATAAGTTGTCTTGGATTTTTCCTATCTTTGGCCAGTCACATATTCTCACATTATTAGTTTGGTGTAAGTATTATCTAAATAAATTTTACATAGATATAAATATAAATTGGGCGTCACGGTGGTGCAGTGGGTAGCACAATCGCCTCACAACAAGAAGGTCTCTGGTTCCAGCCTTGGCTGGGTCAGTTGGCATTTCTTTGTGGAAATTGCATGTTCTCCCCATGTTCTAGTAGGTTTCTTCCGGGTGCTCCGGTTTCTCCCACAGTCCAAAGACATACGCTATTAGTGAATTGGGTAAGCTAAATTGTCCATAGTGTATGTGTGTGAATGAATGTGTATGGATGTTTTCCAATGATAGGTTGCAGCTGGAAGGGCATCCGCTGCTTAAAACATATGGTGGATAAGTTGGCAGTTTATTTCACTTTGGCGACCCCAGATTAATAAAGGGATTAAGTCGAAAAGAAAATGAATGAATAAATGAATACATTTTAACATGTATTGGGTTTTTTTAACACGCATATTTAGACATTGCATGGAACATTAGGTCATGAGAATTTACTTGAAAGTCTTGTAAAAATCATGGAAATGTCATGGAATTTTAGTTGTAAAAATGTGTATGAACCCTGTGTATTGTAACACAATGATTTTATAATCCCAAAGGGACTATAATAATGTCAGAGGACCTCCGTGATGCTCTGGACAGCATGTATGATGCCCGTGTCCCCAAGTCCTGGCAGAAGATCTCTTGGGAAGCTGCTTCTCTGGGTTTCTGGTTCACCGAGCTCCTCGAGAGAAACCAGCAGTTCTACAGCTGGACGTTCAACGGACGACCTCTTCAGTTTTGGCTTACAGGATTTTTCAATCCACAGGTGGGTTAAAGATTTGAGGATCACCTTTTCCATTTAAATAGTGTGAACGATCAGGTCTCTCCATTAACGTCTGTGTTTGATTGAAGGGCTTCTTAACAGCGATGCGCCAAGAGACCACTCGAATGAATCTGTCTAAAGGCTGGGCTCTTGACACTGTCATCCTACTTAACGACGTCACTCGCATGATGAAAGAAGATGTTACAAGTCCTCCGCCTGCAGATATTGGCGGTGTCTACATCTACGGCCTCTATCTGGATGGAGCCGGGTGGGACAAACGAAATGTTAAACTGACAGAATCGTCTCCAAAGGTATTTAACTTAGTCAGATTAAGGTCATTAAAATTGCTGTTTGGAGCTTACGTAGGCCTACAGTTCAAAATTCTTGTTTAACTGAATAAACAGTTAACAAACACAAGTACATCCTATTAAACATCATTTATTTCCATCACCATTTGTCATAGTAGAACAGTTTCTCAAGTTGTTTGTGATGCATTTGGAGATGGTCTAATGCACCACCTGGCTTGAGAAACCTGCTCTCAAAGACCTATTATTTGAGTAGCATTTTTTTATTTTTTATTTTAATAAGTAGTACATATCCTAAATGCCTTCAGGAGAATTCAAATGAGCCATTTTAATCTAGATTAATTCCAAAATTAATTCCAAAAAAATGTATCTATGAACATGAACACCTAATATATATATATATATATATATATATATATATATATATATATATATATATATATATATATATATATATATTAGCGCTCTCAAAATTAGTGCGTTAACACATGCAATTAATTTGAAATATTTAACAGGTTGAAAAAAATTTACGCAGTTGCAGTTTTTTTTTTTTTTTTCTGGTGTGTTCAACATGCAAAGAAATATGGACAAGCCAAGGAAGCACTTTTTGAAGACAAGTTTCAGTTTAAAACAATTAATGTCGCATCACCAGGTTATCCAGAGTTTCCTCAAGAGTTTCATGCAATTTCGGGTGTTTCATTTTTAACTTTCGACTTTTTTTAAATGGAATTTCATACCGCATGATGAACAGAAAGAAAAACCTCTGTATTTTGTGACTCAGTGATACTTTAAGGTAATCGCTGCTTACATGGTAGACTCTTAATAAGAGTATTATCTTAATCATATTAAAATCCGAATATTGGTGTCTTATGTAAATGTACTCAGAAAATGTCAGATGAAGTCGCGAGCTGTCAAAGACAGCCCATTCCAATGCCTTTCAGCATGCGCCCTCCAATGTTTCATTAAGCTTGACCTGTTTCCTCCTTAAACGCAACGAAAGCATATGCTTCGCGTTGTAGTGTCAGAATCCTTGTGAAATACAACCATACTTTAGAACGCTTAGTTTAAGCAAATTTGATGAATGCTATCATGCGTGTTGAATCAGAAGGGATTCAAACGGGCGTGCGCGTACGTTTCTTAGCAACAAACCTGCCTAAATGTCGTTGTCCGAAGCCACTAAATCAAAAAGTTACAAATTGCCGTGACATTGCGTTGCTCTCTCAGCTCACATCTTTCAGAAGAAAAGGTCCACATTGTACCCCGACAATGTCAACATACTGGACTGTCTTAGCAACTGGATGAATGTAAAGGAGAACTGAGAAATAATTTTACTACTTTATATTTAATGTTCTCAACTCACAGCAATACAACTTTGCAATGAGTACAATTGTTTGTATTCATTACTTTATTATTATCATTGTTATCATCATCATTATTATTATTATTATTATTATTATTATTATTATTATTATTATTATTATTATTATTATTATTATTATTATTGTTGTTGTTGTTATTTTCCATTTTCAATATATGCAATGCCTTTATTTGGGCATTTTTTGCTGTGCACTTAGAATCCAACTTGGAAATATTTTTTTTCTTTATTGGTATTGATTGTTTTGGGATTCAAATGGCATGAACATGCCTGTGTTTTTATTAGGCATGTTGTTAACATGAAAAAATCTGTGTTACAAGTTGACCAAAAAAATCAAATTTTGAATTGAAACAGTTTTTGTCTTGTGTTTACATTAATTTTACATTGGAATAGCCAAAATTACAAGTTTCAGTCTTTTTAATGTGATTAATCGCGATTAATTTTCAAAAAAAGTGTGATTAATTAGGTAATTTTTTCAATCGATTGAGCACTAATATATATAGATATATATAGATGCAAGTATGTAATATACATATATAATATACATAGTAAATACATTTTAAATAGTTTTTTAGAAACGGGAATAATCTTCAACACAACACCAGACACAAACTTTAACACTTTTGAAACAAACGATTAAGCAAATAAACACAACACACCATTTTTTTTTTTTTTTTTTTTTTTTGTACAACACAACTTTATTCAACAATAAACCTTCCCCTGCCTCCAAAATAAAATATGATTGTCTTTCCCTCTTGTAATGCAGCTATGACCATGGAGGCGGTTGTGGTGCTGGGCGACTCCTCCTCTATTTCATCTGTCTTCTCTTCCTGTTTCCTGGGCCTCCTCCTCCTCCTTTTCTTTTTCACTTTCTCCTCTTCCATGTTCTCCTCTATTTCAATGTCATTCATCTCTTTCTCCTCTGCGTTCTTTTCCACCTCCTCACTTTCCTTTTCTTTCGCCTCCTCCTCTTCCACAATGCAATTTCTTGGCTTTCTCCTCCTCCTCCTTTTCTTTTTCACTTTCTCCTCTTCCATGTTCTCCTCTAATTCAATGTCATTCATCTCTTTCTCCTCTGTGTTCTTTTCCACCTCCTCACTTTCGTTTTCTTTCGCCGCCTCTTCCACAATGCAATTTCTTGGCTTCCTCCTCCTCCTCCTTTTCTTTTTCACTTTCTCCTCTTCCATGTTCTCCTCTGTTTCAATGTCATTCATCTCTTTCTCCTCTGCGTTCTTTTCCACCTCCTCACTTTCCTTTTCTTTCGCCGCCTCCTCTTCCACAATGCAATTTCTTGGCTTTCTCCTCCTCCTCCTTTTCTTTTTTACTTTCTCCTCTTCCATGTTCTCATCTATTTCAATGTCATTCATCTCTTTCTCCTCTGTGTTCTTTTCCACCGCCTCACTTTCCTTTTCTTTCGCCGCCTCCTCTTCCACAGTGGAATTTCTTGGCTTTCTCCTCCTCCTCCTCTTCTTCTTCGTAACTATCTCCTCCTCCATGTTCTCCTCCTCCTCCCTCACCTCATTTTCAATGTATTTTATATCCTCCTCATTTTTCTCCTTCTCTGCTTTCATCATGTCTTCCTCCATCTCACTTTTCATCTTGTCCTCCTCCTCTTTTATTTGTCCAATCAAAGAATTTGCCACCAACAATCTTTTGGTGGCATTTTCTTTTACTCTCTCCTCCTCTTCCTCCTCCTCTACTTCCCTCCTCTGAAGCTCTTCTCCAGGCAGCCAGCTGCTAATCTTTTTTTCCTCCTTTGGCTTCTCTTCATTTGTGTTCTCTTTCTCCATCTCCTTCTGTTCAATCACCACCTCCTCCTCTTTCTCCTCCACCCTCTCCTCCTCCATTTTCCTCCTCCTCCAAAACTCCTCCTCTGACAACCGGCTGCTAATGTTTTTCTTTTTTCTCTTTTGCTTCCCTTCCTCCCCTGCCTTCTCTTCATTTGTGTTTTCTTTCTCTTTCTCCTTCACCTCCTCCTGTTCAATCACCACCTCCTCCTCTACCTCCAAAATCTCATCCTCTTCTTTTGTCACTTTCTCCACCTTCTCCACCACCTCCTCCTTTTGCATCATCTCCTTCTCTTCATCCACTTTCACCACCATTTTCTGATAGACCTCATTCTCGTGGTCTGTAAAAAGAGAAACAATTGCAGTTTGCACGTGTACACAGTCAATTTCAAGGAGACGTTAAACTCCAGATAAATAAGAGTAAAAATACAGTTTATTTCTAACATTATAGTTTCTAGATGCAGTAGATAAAATGTTTAGATGCAGAAACCATCATTTACCATCAGAGGATAAAAGTCGGATCGGCTCATTGCTTGGAGAGAAGCAAAACCATTTTAGGGCAGCTCTGATAAAAGAGCCAACCCTGCTCTTCTTCTTTTTCTTTTTCTGCTTCTCCACTTTGTCCTTCTTGTCTGTTAAAAGAGAAATGGTTGCACAGAAAGTATATATTAATACATAAACATTAAGAAGTTATAGTAGCTAAGCTAAGGTTACCACAAATTTACATTTTTTTTCGCTGCACTTAACATACTTTAACTATTAAATTTCCCTTTTTTTGTATTTTATTAAAATTTATTTTAATTGATTATAATAATATGATATTTTTTTATTTTCAAGTTAATATAACTGGTCAGTGCACCAAACAATCTAAAAAGAAAATACATTTTCAGTGCACTTTTTTAAAAATAGAAATGTAAGTACTTCAATTTAATAAGGGGTTTTAGACTAAAGTTGAATTGGAAAAGCTGAAAATGAGATACAACATTAATTTACACAAGGCGTTTCATTAAGATGCTATTGAATGCAATAACAGCCTAATAATATTTAAGTGAATATTCACTAATTCATAAAGACAAAGCAATATGTAACATTCACTATTTCAGCCTATCCTGTTTCTGCTTGTCATTAACTGTGTAGCACATTAGCCAACTGATGAAATAATATCTTATATATTTACTACTAATGCCAGAAGTTATTATTATCACATGTACATTCTGCTATAGCATCACTGTTAACCATTTTTGTACTGTAAGTAACAGAATTTAACTGTAATATGAGCTGTATTTTAAGACATTTATGCAGTCAGTTACTGTGTTTTAAAGTTGCTTTGTGAAAATTACTCTTACAGCAAAGATATACATACAATTCTGTAAATACATATACAGCAAGATTAATGGTGCTGTAGTTGTAAATACAGTGTTCTTGCTGTCAGTAAGTTACTGGTGAACTGCTGTAAGTAAGTTGCTGTAGGTTTAACAGGATTTTTTTAATAGAGCTGTTTAGGAAAACAGGAATTCAACCAGCTGTCTATTATACTGTACGAGCATTTACACTGTACAAACATTATTTTTTATTAATAAGTGTGATATTATGTCAGAAAAACACTGGATATTCATATTACAATGTAAATGTGACTCACTGTTAGTGCCGTTTCCGGGCCTTTCTTTGATCTGCTGCGCTTTTTTCTGGCGCTGGAAGATCTTACAAGTGGTTTTAGCTTCCATTCTGTCTTCCATTTTGACAGCCGATGTTGTGGGGTCAACACTTATTGTTGGGGATGCAAGATTGCAATTCTGCTCAACAATCATATTGATTGCTGTAGGGTTTTAGGCTTTTACCTGAAACCACTCAAACACATAGGGTTTGCAAGTTGGAATGGAATGAGGATTTCGGTCTTGCACCGTGAATCACTCAAACAGGAAGATGTTCAAACGCTCAGTCAGTCTTGAAAACACTGGAGAACTCAATCAATAAGATTGCAAGTATTCAAAAACTGAAAAGCCAAAAGACACAACCTGTCCGATTCCACTACAGCAAACCCACTAGAGATTTTTTATGATGCAAGGCTTCAAGAAAACTTTGGAACGCGTTCTATTCTCAGAACATGTCACTATGGTAACGAGACTAAGCACTAAGAAATGTTTTCTTTTAAATACTAATGACTGAGTCAATGTCCAAATGACATAAAATGAATAAAATACTTGCTGAATAATTGATTTAGGGTGCCAAAAGCTGTCTTAAATAGACAATCAATTAAAAATGTATATAACTGTGGACAATGAAGCACAACAAATGAAACGCCAAAGGTTTTTGTGAAACGTAAACCACAAAACTGACATATATTGACTGAAAGAATATATAATAAATTCATTTACAAAAAATCTAAAATCAGAAATGAATGTGAAGAATTATCTTTGAAGAAAAAATACATTTAAATAAATAAAAATCAACAAAATAATTCTGAATCAAGCCGTAAAGTGCAGAACAAATGTGCAGGCAACATGCATTGAAATGTGAACCAAAATCAGTTCAACTGATGACACTGAGTGATCAGTAAATGAGATACAAAATAACTATTAATTTACAGAAGTGTAGCGAGAATGTTTTATATATAACTGATAAAAGTGCTAGATGCATTTTTTTTTACTGTTAAATGTCTATTTTTTATAAAAAAAAATAAGTCAAATCAACAAAAAATCTTGTTGTCTTGACTTTTTGCCATGTACATTTTTTACAGTACAGCTAAAATAGTTTCTATTGCAGTTTTATTGCAGGCCTTCTTTATAACTCTCTCCTCATACACTTTTCCAATACTGTTAAGATTTATACCCAAGGTCTCCTGAGATTGTTATTCTTGCCAGTCTGAAGTGTATGTAAGTGATGAGAAGTATGAGAGTTTTTGCCAAATAGACATTTCCTTTGGACATGTTTTTAATTCATAATTTCAGTGTGTGCAACTGTAGGGTAATGCTAACAGAGCTATGAGAGACTACACACAGTAAACGTTTTTAGTCTTGATGGTAAAAGGGAACTAAGAGTTCATTAAGCTTGAGCTTGATAGAAAAAAACATGGATTTTCATCATTTGAAGGTGTGATAATATTTGTCATGGACTTGTAAGTGGTTTCTATGGAAGCTTGTTTCTGCCTCGGAAAATGTATTTTTCTTAGCTGCGTATTTTAAATAATTTACCAAAACAAGCCAAATTATGTATTTTGTAAATCGTATACATTTATTTTTCAACATGACTTTTATTTAAGAACCGTTTACATTTAAAAAAAACTAATTGTCTTATACAGTTCTTTTTAAAATATTTTCCAAATGATGTTTAATAGAGCATGGAAATTTTCTCAGTATGTCTGATAATATTTTTTCCTCTGGGGAAAGTCTTATTTGTTTTATTACGGCTAGATTAAAAATAGTTTTTAATTTTTTAAACACCATTTTAGGGACAAAATTATTAGTCCCTTTAGCTATATTTTTTCTCGATAGTCTACAGAATAAACCATCGTTATACAATAACTTGCCAAATTACCCTAACCTGCCTAGTTAGCCTTATTAACCTAGTTAAGCCTTTAAATGTTACTTTAAGCTGTATAGAAGTGTCTTGAAAAATATCTAGTAAAATATTATTTACTGTCATCATGGCAAAGATAATAAAAATCAGTTATTAGAAATGAGTTATTAAAACTATTATGATTAGAAATGTGTTGAAAAAATCTTCTCTCCATTAAACAGAAATTGGGGTAAAAATAAACAAGCGGTCTAATAATTCAGGGGGGCTAATAATTCTGACTTCAACTGTTACTACATTTATGCACAACATTGTCTGGGTGCAAGGTCCCAGATCAACAGTTAACTATACATAAATACAGAGGACTTCTATTAAAGGAACCTTATTGTTAGAATGATATTAAAATATATTAGTAATATAAACAGTGCTGTTAAACACTAATGGTGTTTTACTGGGATGGATTGTTAATGGTTTTGATCTTCATCTTCATCTTCGTCTCTTTTGTAGTATGATACTCTGAGCATCTCTTCCTGAGAGCCACATCTTGACAGTCTGACCATAAAAATTGCTGTCATTAAGTTTAAATATGCTAACAACTTGTTAACAAATGCTAAATAGTCTTTAAATAATGCTAACTGTGCTAGAATATGCTTATAAAATGATCCATTGTTTGTGATTTTAAATGTAAAGATCAACATTTTAACTTGATAACATGTTAGCAACAAAATAAAGCATGCTAACAGCTTTCCAGAAATATAAACATGTTAGCAACTTGCTAAGACATGTTAAACTATAAAATAACAATGCAGTCATCAAGTTAAAATAAGCTAACAGCTTGTTAACACATGCTAACAACTATTTGAAAAATTATAACTGTGCTAAAATATGCTAATGAAATGATAAATTGTTCACGATTCGTTAGCATAAACATTTTACCTTGATAAAAGGTTATAAACATGCTAGCAACATGTTAAAGCATACTAGCAATTTTCCGAGAGCATAAACATGCTAGCAACTTGTTTAAACATGCTAAATTATAACAATAAATATGCAGTCATCAAGGTAAAATATGCTTAACAACCTAACATATGCTAACTCTTTAAAAAATGCTAACTGTGCTAAAATATGCTAATGAAATTATAAAATATTTGTAACTTAAATGTTAAGATTAACATTTGAACTTGATCAAATGTTATAAACATGTTAGCAACATAAAGTATGCTAGCAGTTTTCTAGAAACATAAACATGCTAGCAACTTGCTAAAACATAGAACAGCTAAATTATAATAATAAATATGCAATCAGCAAATTAAAATATGACAAGCAACTTGTTAACATGTTAACAACTTTGTGTTGTCATTGTTTGTATCAATGTTTATGTTTGTACACTTAACATTTGCAGCAACATATTAAAGCATGCTAGCAACAATAACATACTAGCAACTTGCTAAAACATGCTAAATTATAACAATATGCAGTCAACAAGTTAAAATGTATGCTAACAAATTATTAACACATGGTAACAACACATTGAAACATGCTAACTGTGCTAAAATATGCTAATGAAACATAGTTTGAGACTTGTTAACATGTAAGCATTTCGCTAAAACATGTTTAAGACATGTCAACTGTTTTGTAAAACATTCTAGAAAGATGTTACAGCATGCTGGAAACGTCCTGGTAATGTGCTGAAACATGTTAGCAATATTAAAACATGTAAAGGTAAATAACTATGCTTAAAATTTGCTGTTCAGGGTGTTTTTTAGGTCAACATCCCATACAGTCTGTATTTTCAATCAAACAAGACCATGGTACTATATGAATACTCTTGTTTGTAGGTACTCTTCAATCTGTTGCCAGTTGTGCATGTGTATGCAGTGAGCAGCACCACAGAGTCCAAGAAGCCGGCCATGAATCTATACTCCTGCCCAGTGTACAAGAAGCCAAGGCGGACTGACCTGACGTACATCTTTTCACTGTTCCTCCGAAGCAGCCAGAACCCAGACCACTGGACTCTGAGGGGAGTCGCTTTACTCTGTGACTGTAAATAAACCCTCAATCTGCTGAGGCCTGAGGTATTTTCACACATGAACAATGAGCGTGAACGTTTGAAGAGAAATATGTGCTTATTATATCATAAAAACAGAAATCTGCTTAATTCTAAGTGTTGTTTAAGATAAAATTGGTGAAACATGTTGGTACACTTGATTTTTTCAATAATATGACTATGGTTATGTTCTTATACTTGTATTTTGTCCTATGAAATAAACAATAAACAGCTTAAAAATACATAATTCATGCTGCAAAATTTATGAATGTTTTATTAAACATTTCTTAACAGAAATGCTCGTATGATGTCTCATATAATTGGCAGTACATAGGTGTTCATTGATAAATTATAGCAGAGGTGTCCAAACTACATGTATACAGTATGTACTGCAAATACTGTGTAGAGGTAATAATGAATAGAATTATGTATATAATCTTTATTCATTCATGCACTTTCCAAGCATATCATACAGCATAAAGTGTTAATAAAACAAACAGTCTAATGACAGATATCATAATGGCAGCCTTGCCTTTTAACACCATTAAAAGCATGTAAAGACTTATTTTCTACATCTGGCCTTCAATAAAAAAAGGTGGACAACTGGAAGATGTCAAAATGAAAAAGTGTAATATAGCAGCAACTTTTGTCATTAAAAATCAGATTTGGTAATTGCTTATCCGCTTGTTAAGTGTGACGTCACGCGAAGCGGCTTCCGGGTCCAGGCACTCTATTCTACTGAATGGGGAGACTCATGAAATGGTAATAATAAACGTTTACCAAGCGATTTAATGCTTTCAAAAGTCACGATCGCAATATATATGTCCATGCCTAATATCCGAGGGCCAGAAAGTGATTCATTTTTTGATAAATTCTTAAATTTTTGGTATTTGTTATGCAGCAAGCCCAGAGATTGTTGTGTACACTATGATTTCAATAAAATTAACTTTAATGTGTGATAGGAATAAAGCGTGATCATTTAAACGAGTGATTTCTCCACTCAAATGAATGGCGGCTTGGACCCGGAAACAGTATTACATACGTCACAAACACGTCACCACTTAACAAGCGGATATGCAATAATTGCGCATTTATTTCTTCAGAAACTCTTCAGAAACCAGCTGATTGAGTTCATGTGTTTATTTAAAAATAATGATACAACTGAATAGTGATGGTTAATCACCAAAGTTATACTGCGAAAGCTGATCTTTTTTAGTTTACAAGAAAATCACAGAAAAGGCACAGAAAAATGTTGTTAGAAATGACTCGCCTGCACAAGTAATCAACTACAACATCTAAACTGAAAAATGTCATTCTAAACTCATCCATCGCTGGACATGCTGGATGTCAGCTGAAGTCCAAAAAAAAAAAAAAAAATCTGAATTGTGTAATTCATCTGTATTTGTGTAAATCATTTTGACTGTTTGGTGAAATTTCTTTTAAATAATATTGCACACGCCTAATAAATAATAGGTTCACTCAGCTCTTTGTCTTAAAAGCATTTTACTACTAAAGAATGAATAAAGGGATCGGTGACTTACAAAAGAAAATTGTTCTCTTATAATGGGGGACTTCTTGTGCTGCGTTCACTCCAGATGCAGATGAAGCGTCAAGCAAGAGTGATTTACATGTTAGGTCATGCAAAGACGAGAATAGACATCCTGCGGCGCGATTCACGCAAATGAAGCGGCGCGTGTTGATCAACGTTGTTGGACAATCTGAAATTCAGCAGACATTCGCGCTGCATTGACCAGTCAGAAATTTTCTCTTGTTGGGGCGTGATTTTGATGTAGCTCCTGTTGTTGGTGTACCGAGGAAAAATCCTATTACCAACACCGGACAACAGTTCATCAAACTGGGCTTGGCTCTGTCAGAACACAGCTGAAAGCTTCCATCATCCAGGTGCAGTTTCTGGAGGAGTTGATAAACTCACAGAGCTGGGTGCACCTGGATCTGGTGGACTCAGACACAGCTCCTAATGAATCGACGCTACTTATCAGCCTTCCTAAAGCACATAATCACAGCTGGTCTCTCAATAAAATTCATGTTAGCCATTTAGCAACGAAGCTAGAGTCACCGGGCAGACAGAAACCCTGCACATGATGCAAATCCAAAAGTGCGAATGAAGCGAGTAAGCTTACAATGTTCGTGCGTGTATTTACGTATGAATAGTGTGATTTATCCTGGTTTGATGTGAACGCAGCAAAATAAGGATCACAAGACCAGCCGAACGCTATTCAACATATCTCAGTAATACCTCTATTATAATACACATCTGTGAAAGAAGTATCTTACCAAACACCTTTATTTTATACAACACTTCATCCACACCCATAGGTGTCAGTGTGACCAAAAAAACTAACTAAAAGTTAAATTAAAAATCATTAAACTAGTCATCTCATTATGGTGGTTTGACATTCATCACCCTTCATAGCACATAACAGATGTAAACAAAAATATCCCCCACACCTCCCCCCAAAAGACACATATTGTTTGTAGAATTCAACTTCCTCAATTCGTTCATTCAGTTGTCGCAAGAACCATCCACTGATCCAATCAGGATCTCTGGTCTTTCCAATCTTTCCACCTTCTAGTTCTCTGTAATCGAATCCATATCTGTATATTAGTCTTTCGCAAAATGTGGCTGTCAGGCCTGCTTAAGCTTAAGAAAGCTGCTTCATATCATACATCGGTACTTCTGATTCCTCACCCTTGCCCTCATCTGGACCTTCTTGTTTCTGCGTTGGCTCTGTGTAGGCCACCTCAGGACTGGGTTTACGACCCTTCGGTGGTGGGACGGGTGCTGTTCCTTCTGTGGTCCCTTCTGCCCCCTCCTGACCCTCAGCCACCGTCCTTTCCTTCTTCAGATTCAGCTTTGCTGGTACGGTTTTTGTGATGGTTTCCTTGAAGCGCTCGCCAGACTGTTTCAGTCGTTCTCCTGACTGGCGGATTTTCTCACGCCGTTCGGCTGTTACTATGCGCTCGCCCAGCTTGTTGACCTTGGTGCCCAGGTTCTCTTTGGTCTTAGTCATGTTCTCGCGTGAGAAGGTCTGCTTCAGGCTTTCGATGCGCTTCAGGCCGGTCTTCTTTAGTTTGGCAGCAGTGGATGAATCGGCTTCTTCAACAACCATGTATTCCTCATCCGAGTCAGGGAGCGGAGCCTCTGGTGCATCTGGGTCTGCTGCAGCGTCTCCACCCGTTGCTCCCTTCGGAGAGGCTTTAGGACCAGCCACAGCTGGGACCTCATTATCTCCCTGTGGAAAAAGGATATAATTACTATGGTATATCTGAGACCTTTAGTTAAATTGTTCTAGATTAATTAAAGAGACAAATTAGCTAGTAATTGGGCTATTTTTATTCTCATTTATTCTCAAAGGCAAAAAGTGTCCCAAAATACCTGAATTTAACCTGAACAACTACATTCAACAAGTGAAAAATGTATTGCAATCTGTATTTTGTAAAATGTTTGTATGTTGAATGAAGATATACCAATTACAATTTCAGATTTATTTTATGAAATTAACCATATGATCATGCGTTATCAGCATAGCAAAAATAAAAAATAAACAGTCACATGCTTTCGTAAAAATTTGGGTTTACAAAAGTTTTTAGTTACAAGTTCTACAAGGACTTGAATGCATTTTGGAACTTGGAATCTGTCATGAACACTCTTACATCTTATGTTGGAAAAATGTAGTCCATTGAAATGTGTTAATCAAATCAAGAAATAAGATGGCAATAACATTTCTGAAACATCAGTATTGAAGTCTTTTGACGTCTTTTTCAATAGATATTTGAGATATGTGTTATTGGCAGTTACTGAGCATGAGTTTGTGAAGTGTTACGAGAGACTACATACTAAATACCATGGCTGTCCAATTAGAAAATAGTATTTTAGAACACATTTTAACAAGCTTACCTACCTATTAAATGTAGAAAGACAACTAAGCATTAATTGGTATGTGGGATATTTGTTGCCTATCATATTTTGTTTTTAATTATTTGGTATATCGCTCATTTAGCAGAAAATAAAATAAATATCACTGTATGATTTTATAAGACATGAAATAGTTCCTGAATGTTTGCGCACAACCCAGCCTGATCTCACGAAGAAACGTAACTATTTTATGTTTTGTCAGTTTAGTGGCTAATTCGTATGAGTTTGAGTTTAGTACGATTTTAAAAAGTTGGCATGGCATCCAACCCCACCCCTAAACCCAGTCGTCATTGGTGGATTAGAAAATCGTACTAAATTGTATGAATGAGATCGTAAGAGTTCATATGAATTAGCCACTAAATTAAAAAGTTACGAATTGCCGTGAGATCATGTTGACACAACCATGATCACAAATGTGATATTGATTCTACACAACATTGCAAGTACAAAAAGTTCCGTTTTACCAGTTTTATATTTTGCCAATGAAGGTATTTTCAAACTACTTTTTAAATAAATTATTTGACAAATTAATTTAAATATAATGATCTATAAATAAAGACAACCATTAGAATGGTTCAACCAAGTGTCTAATTTATTCATGACAGGCCTAAACCAGCCAAAGTAACCAACAAAAACACAACTTCTTTTTTTTTTTTTTTTGGTCAATATCCCACACACCTAGAGCTTAAAAATAGCAGAAATAAAGAGTTATCGATCAGTGGCTTACAATTAACTTCAGTTAATCGATTTACAGGCTTTATTTTAGAATATTTTTTTTATAAAGATTTACATAAAGAAGTACTAGTGTGCCATTGCATAACACATCCATATCATTCACCTATCATAGGCCAGTGTTTAATCACTATGAAGCAAAATAAGTTAATCAAATTACATCTATCACCAGCATTCATGGACTGAAGCCAGTTAAGGTTGAACCACTCTTTCCATGTCCCCGCTTCTGAACAACTTTTTTATATATAAAACAAGTCTATCGCTAACAAACTGCCGCTGTTCGATTGCTGATTAAAGACTCTGTCTGCAGCTTTTTTAACCATCGCTCTGTCGGACACGATAACACTATATTAGGACATGAAGCTTCAGTGCAGCTCTCAGAATAACCCTGAACAAATCTGTCAGCTGTTCTGCTCGGTTCAAGAGATGATCAAACCCATGGGCACTCATTAAAACTGTGATTGTTTCAAAAAAAGAAAACACTAATACGCCTACACTGATTGCTCCAATGCCTTAAAGAAAACACTCCTATATGGGAAATGAAATACACTTTTCCTATAATGATGTAGACCAGTAGCTGACATATTTTAATGTAGTTTTTCCTCTCATAATGGTTGCATTTATACAGATTCAGTCTATAAAAGTAGAGAAACAAAGTAACATCTTATTTGATTGGTGTTTTAATGTCCATTGATCTGCTTTACAATTACACTGGACCTTCAAAATACCCAAAGATTGAATCAAGACGCAGCATAACCAGATTTAGCAACATTCCTGGATGATTTCATAATTTTCTGCACTCAATCCTAATCGCATTTCTTCCATCTAGCCTCATTTAAAACAACAGCAACCCTTCATAGTCCGTTCTCGAAACTCTAAAAAGTGAATATTAATTCGTTTTTACTCCCTCATGGATCACATTACGCACTTTATCTGCGTATTACGCCAGACATCCTGCCACATATCAGATAAAATGGCCGCCAACCTAATCCTCTATTCTCAGCGGGGACTGGCAGAACATTCCTGCTGTATTGCTTTTGGCAGCTGGCCACGTGACCTTCTAGTGTATCGTGATTTGTCTCGGATCATGCAAAACTTTGCGTCCCGAGTCTATATTTGATGACTCATTTTGCTCAAGTTAAAAGTAATTAAAGGTATATACTTATGTGTTTCAAAGAATTAAGGTGCAATCACATTTACCAATTCTTGACCAAGTTTAATTGAGTCATTCCAATGGAAATCCAGTTGCATATTCAGAGCTGACTTGTTTTCAGCTTGTTTTACAGTATTGACCAGCAGAGAGCTGCTTGGTTTGGCTTCTGTGCTCACTAAGTGAGCTTGTTTGCCTCCAAAATGTCACCACACATTTAGGCCTCATTCAGAGATCCAACCTTTAATTGGAACCCAGAATAACCAAGTCCAGAAACACTCATATTCCACTAAAATTGAAGTGATTGTCATTATTTACCTGGTAGATGACGACACGGAACTTGTTCTTATTCAGCAGCTCGACTTGGGTTTCCTCCACCTTCTTGACTCGAACGTTCTGCTTCTCCACCCGCACGCGGACGTCCTTGATGTGGCAGCTGACCTTGCGTGTTTTCTCCAGAAGTTTCTCCACGGTGCCACTGGTCGCCGTGTGCTCCTTCGTCAGCTTGACTACATCTGCTTGGATGGTCTTGACGGTGTTCTCCAGCTCCAGCTGCCTCTCCTCCATCCGCTGCTGGCAGGCCTGAACATTGTCTATGATCCCGGACACCCTCTCCAGCAGAGAGAAGATGTTCATGGCGCTGGGCTCGTCCGCCACACCTGCCAGTCCCAGTTTATCAGCCATGCTTGTCCTTGAAAACCGATGAGGACCCTAGACCAGAACTGCCAAAATCCTTAGGTCCTGCTTCGGTGGGTTTCTCTTTAGGGGTGTTGGGGTGGGACGTTGGATTGTGGGGCCGTGGTGGGCCCTGGGAGATGCTCGGATAGGACAGACTCACCCTCTGACAGGAGCTTCATGGACGTTTTGGAGAATATAGAAGCTCCACCCTTGCTGTTTATCGGGAACGCAAGGTTCAAAGGCCAGACACAGAGGGAACGACTGGAAATAAGGGCAGAGGGGTTGGAAGAGGGCACCACACCAACTCACTGCGTATTCAGTGTATAAATACCCACAGTAAGGTGACACCCTGTCATTTTTAGAAGATGCGTGTGCAGCTGAGATAATGGAAACCCCCTTCAACCACTTTATTTCATTACAAAGAGCTGTTTCCTCGAAGAAAAGCTTATTTTATTAACAACAGTAGGGGAAATAATAGTATTGCTGTGTTCCAATTTATTCTGAAAGTATGCTTTTAAAAAAAAAAAGAGTGTATGCAATGTATGCAAGCTTTGGGATGTACTACTTCCTTATTAATGGACCATTTTGTTGCTTAGTTATGAGCCCGGTCAATCATCTCGACACATCGTTCACATTTCTTTCATATTTAATTTTCTACAATATTGAAGATGCAGCAGCATATTATTCTATTCAAAAGTTTTTCAATCGGAGAAATCTCTGCATAAGTATGCATTCAGAAGTTATTGACTAAACATGTCTTTATAAGCAGGGTGCGAATTACAGGGGGGTTTACGGGGGATTGACCCCCCCTAATTAACTCTTGATCCCCCCTGAAAGACGTCAAAACCAGATGCATGGGGGGGTCAGCTCTCAACAAAGCAAGATATTGTTTTAACTGATTTGTATTTTAAATAATAATGTTAATAATAAAAATAATAGATAATATAAATATACCTTTTACCACCCCTATAGCGGTTCATACCATTGTGAATACAAATTCAGAGTATGTGAGAAAAAAATACTAATTCAACGGTCTGATATACACCATCGTAAAAACACTCTTCAAGTAAAATATGTTTTATGTTTGTATGTAGATATAGCCCAAAAGTAAAGTCAAATTAGACACCTTTTTTGTAGTTCTACAATAATATAATAATAATATTAAGTAATATAAAATAATATATAATCTGAAGTAACCTCTGAAAGAGCTAATCAGACGTTACTGTACCCCCCCTCCATCCAGCAATGTATAATTCGTACCCTGTTGCAGATTAAATATAACATTGAAAATATTAATTCAATATATTCCAGAAAGATCTTAACAGTCATTCTAGCATCTTTACCAAATATTTGCCACATACCTTTGGTTGTACGCCTTCGCCATGTTTGTGGTATGTTTACATTTTTTAACCGTGTGTGGCCGGATTCTGCACTAACAATGTACTCAAGAAGTGAAAGTACACATTTTTAAAATGACTTAATAAGTTACAATTCCTGAGAATATCTACTCAATTACAGTAGTTTGAGTATTTGTAATTAGTTACTTTACACCACTGACTGATTTGGAACATACTAATTCTATTTACTATTTAGGAAGGATAATATGTGAATTAGAACGCTGCATATGATGTTCCTCAAATCTTGGTCAATGCACTATATGCACACCTAGTGTTTTTCAGCCAATGATAAACATCTGATGAAAGGTTTATGACTATTTTCAATTTCATAAGGTTCCTTTTACAACATCGATGTTGTAATAAAATTAAAATACAATAAGTTACATAGACTTAAGCATTCATTTAATTGTTTAAGCGTAAAATGAGATCAATGTAGACACAAGCGCTGTCAGAAGCAGCAGCAAATACTGGGGTATAATACATTTTAATATTTAAGATTGAGAAATGGCATAAAAAATGAAATTAATGCAACCTATTTCATATCGTATATCAATCAGGCAGTGAAGATCACTGATTTTTAAAGAAATGAGACCTTAAACATGGTGATTTTGAAAGACACTGTTCACTGGAAGCGTTTGGGCTCGGCTGACTAAAAATTAAAAGTCTGTGCACATATACCCTATTGACTTTCTAATTTGGTCCAATACCTATAGTTCTTAACCACACTATCTATATTTTTCTGTTTCTTCAAAGAAATAGCAGTTAAATTGTCATAATTGATTAAAAAAGTGTTGCACAAACAATACTAAGATGTTCCACCAATGATGGTCAATTGATTGTGCAATTTTATACCAAAGACTCCAGCTTTACCACAATAGGGTGCAATATGCACGCAACAATGTCCGCACAATGCTTCAGGCTCAAACTCAAACATGATTTGAACTGCCATGTTGCATCCTGGGGAAGATGATCCACCTTAAGATGGACTGTCCAAACCTGTGAAATGATGCCACCAGCTGCAGTCTATTTTTAAACCCGGAGTCGTCTATAATTACTCATCACTCATGTCATAGCTCACCGAGGCTTACCTAATTCTCCAGAACTCTTCATTCAGCCGATACTCAACACTGCTGTTTTTTTTTTTTTTTACACACTAAATATCACGTGAGCAAACTTTCTAGATTGTTTTCTTTACATAGCTGCTTTTATTGCAGTTTGTCATTTTACTGTATATGAGAATGCAGTATGTCAGTCTTAAAGAGACAGTACACTGAGAAATCATTGTCTTGTCATTATAAACTCGTCTTGCGGTCTTCTCTGGACCACAAATAAATATACTTTGAATCACGTTTTTGCCCATACTTCAAAATATCTTCTGACATAATTTGAAAGTCATATAGGTTTTGAATCACATGAAGGGGAATAAATTATTTAGGGTGAACATTTTCTTCATTTAATGAGACATTTTTGTGATCTAAAAAGTGTAACTTTTAATGCCTTTTGGCCATTCATTTTCACAGCAGTTGCAGTTTGGATTGTTAAAAACAATCCAAAAAATTTCGAGGTGCAAGTTTTGACATTTTTACTGTTATAATTCCATATTAACTATAAAACTGCCAATTTGTGTTAAAAAAAAACTGCACTATGCAGTATTACATGGTCATTATATAGACATTAGCAAGTACTTGGCAACCAAAGCAACAACGTTGGACTGCAAATTTATATATACGGTACGTAGTGTTTCAAAGTAACAAAGTAACTTACTAACTCCTAACCTGGCATGCATAATCCAGTTTATTTTTCTTTTTTCAGATTCGTGAGAATGGGGATTGGGATGAAGACACTATTGATGAATCTTTCCAAAGAATGCACAAGTAAAACTTCTCCACTTTAAGTACTTTATGTATTTATTTAATATTTTATTCATTATTATATTTTATGTTATATAAATATATAGTTTTGGTATATAGTTTTTGTTTGTGAACTTGATGTTAAGTGTTGGTGTTTATTGAGTTAAGTATGTCATTTTTGTTATGTGAAGCACCACCATATCTAAATGAATTGCCCCAAGGGGATTAATAAACTAAACTACTTACTATAAACTAAAAAGTAAGTAAGACAGCCAAATCTATTAAGTTAATGTAATGTTTTTTTTTTTTTTTTTACAAATTTAAGTCCATCAAACATAAAACAATTAGGTTGTCCCCCCAAAGAAATGTAAGAATTGTGTTGTTTCAACTCATTTTACATTTTTTTTCAGCTTTGCCACTTTTTTTTTTTAGATTCGTGAAAATGGGGATTGCGATGACAACACTATTGTTAAATCTTTCCAAAAAATAAATAGGTAAAACTTTTCTACTGATATGAATTTATTAACCATTTTATTTATTTATTTATTTATTTATTTATTTATTTATTTATTTCATTTTCTTGTGGGCTTAGTCCATTTATTAATCCAGGGTCGCTACAATAAACCGCCAACTTATCCAGCAAATTTTTACGTAGTGGATGCTCTTTCAGCCGCAACCCATCTCTGGGAAACATCCACACACACACACTCACACACACACTCATACACTACTGACAATTTAGCTTACCCAATTCACCTGTACCGCATGTCTTTGGACTGTGGGGGAAACCAGAGCACCCGGAAGAAACCCACGCGAACGCAGGGAGAACATGCAAACTCCACACAGAAACGCCAACTGAGCCGAGGCTCGAACCAGCGACCTTCTTGCTGTGAGGCGACAGCACTACCTACTGCGCCACTGTGTCGCCTGCTATTTATTTATTTATTTATTCTTTCATTTTTTTATATTTTTATTATAAATGGAGTGTTAAGATGCAAAAACCTCTAAATGCCGTCTGAACTTTAAATTGATCATTTTTTAAAAGGCTCCAGTGTATTGATTCAGTAAATTTACTTTATGGCAAACAATAAGTTCTTTTCATGGTTTTCAAAGTGAAATAACTCACCATAAACAAAGGAGACTGAAAATAACGCTCATTATTAATGGAAATTCTGGAAGCACTTTATTTTGATGGTCCGTTTGAGTATTAGTAGACTGTCTGCTTAATATCTGTTGATACAGACATTTAACTGACTTGAAGAAACTTTGCAAGGACATGTCAATTTACACTAACTTTAACCCCAACCTAACAGTCTACTTATAATCTAATCATGGCATGTAGATGCAATGAAACTTAAATTCCACAAACGGACCATCAAAATAAAATGTGACCGAAATTTCAGACTTCACTTAGAGGTTTTTGCATCTGAACCAGTTCATATATATATATATACATATATATATATACATATACAAACACACACACACACACACACACACACAACAGTTCTGTCTGGTTCTTGAATCTGATTGGCTGATAGCTGTGATATATTTCAGTAATATCAGCACCCGTAAAGCCTCTTTACCCTTTGTGTATTACTCCGCCCACATACAACCAGCAAAAAGCAGACATATACAGATCTAAAGTTTAAAAGATGCTTGCTCAACTGTTTTAACTGTCAGCTTATGATTTCAATCCAATGTGGAAGGAAGTAGTTCCACATACAAAAGGGTTTTTGATACTCTCCATGTGTGATTTTGTTTTTATATACACAATTATACCGTCAAACTGTTGTATAAACACAATATCACACTCATAGCAGTGCGATATACAGCCATATCGCACTGCTACGAGTGTGATATTGCTCAAATATAAATTATATAATAATTTTTCATTATCATTTTTAAAATTATTTTTCCCAGTTTTTGTTTACTTGATGCTAAGTGTTGGTGTTTATTGTGTTGTGTCATTCTTGTTATGTGAAGCACCACCCTTTCCGAATTAACTGCCCCAAGGGGATAAAGTAGGGGAATAATTAAGCTAAACTAAACTAAACGAAACTACTTTGTTACAAAGTAAAAGTAAATGTAAGATAGCCATATCGATAAACACTATTTATGAACTTTCCAAAACAATGCATAGGCAAAACTTTTCTATTAACAATACTTTGTTAAAATAATAAATAAATAAATAAAATAATAATAAGATAGCCAAAATGCTTCAAGCTAAATTTTCAGAGCATGATGCTTATCATTTTATCGTAAAATTTTGAAAGTATTTAAAGTTATTCAGAACAAGCAATGCCAGAATGACTTCATGTTGTGTTTACATGTACAGGCGACCATCAAATGTATGTAAGACTGAGAATTAAATTTTATTAAACCTACAGCACGGGACACAGTTTCACAGGTCATGCGATATGCAGTTCATAGAATTAAATTAATGTCAATAATGTTCATTTTCAACATTAACAACACCGATAACATTAGAACAGAAAAACTACAAACATTTCAACATTGATAAGATTAGCTAGTCAAACACGTTGCATTTCATTCTCTGGAATTCCCTTCAAAAGAAAGTGTAAACGTCATCACGTCGGCGCACTTGTTCGTATCCAATTAAATTTGGTGTTCAGCTAAGTTTGATTTGAAGAAATAAGATTCAAATCAAAAGGTGGGTTGGTGGGTGGGGGGTGGGCAGTTAAACAGACAGTTCAGAGTTAATATTTTCAATAAAGAAGCACATTCCATGGAAATCGTGGACATCCGTTTTTGTGGTACAGTTTGTGTGCCGAGACTTACATTTAACAATATGTGAAAAAACCTGGTACCACAATCGAAATAAAAAATAATAATAAAAAAAGAGCTGGCTTATATCATTCATTTGACAGTGTTTGCCACTGACATCAAGTACCTAAAATGTCCTGAAAACAAGAAAACCATAAGGCACCATCCAATAAAATAATAAAAATAAAACTTTAAAAATCGGAAATAACCGTATTGTCCAGAGTCAAGAAAGCACAAAACCAAAAAAAAGAAAAGCACATTAAAACTGTAATCCACTCGGTACAAAAAGTATCAAAAAATTAAAATAAAAACAAACTACATCATCCTTGAAGAGTTGTTTGATGGATAGTTTTGCTGTTGTCGTCTTTTACGATTGTTCTTAGGACATTTCCTGAAAAAAAGAAGAGATATTATATTATTAATTCATTCATTCATTTATTCATTTTCTTGTCGGCTTATTCCCTTTACTAATCCGGGGTCGCCACAGCGGAATGAACCGCCAACTTATCCAGCAAGTTTTTACGCAGCGGATGCCCTTTCAGCCGCAACCCATCTCTGGGAATATATTATATTATATTATATTTTTTATTATATTATATTATATTATATTATATTATATTATATTATATTATATTATATTATATTATATTATATTATATTATATTATATTATATTGACATCAAATCAAATTTTTATTTAAGTGGTTTTATATTCAGTCTGTTCAGAATTATTAGCCCCCTTGTATATTTATTTCCCCAATTTTAGTTTAACAGAAGGAAGAATAAACATAATAGTTTTAATAACTAATTGGTCACACTTTACAATAAGGTTCATTAGTTAATGTTAATTAATGCATTTACTAACAGGAACAAGCAATGAACAATATATTTACAACAGTGTTTGTTCATGTTAGTTAACGTTAGTTAATGAAAATACAGTAGTTCATTGTTAGTTCATGTTAACTCACGGTGCATTAACTAATGTTAACAAGCACGGACTTAGATGTTAATAATGCATTAGTAAATGTTAAAATATGATTAATAAATGCTGTACAAGTGTTGTTCATGCTTAGTTCATGTTAGTAAAGGCATTAACTAATGAACCTTATTGTAAAGTGTTACCAACTAATTTCTAATAACTGATTTCTCTTATCTTTGCCATGATGACAGTAAATAATATTTTACTAGATGTTTATCAAGATACTAGTATTCAGCTTAAAGCAGGGGTGGGCAAACACAGTTTAGCTCCAACTCTAATCACACACACCTGCTTATAGATTTCGAGTGATCTTGAAAACACTGATTAGCATGTTCAGGTGTGTTTGATTAGTTTTGCAGCTAAACTATGCAGGACACCGGCCCTCCAGGACTGAGTTTGCTCACCCCTGGTTTAAAGTGACATTTAATTAACTAGGTTAACTAGGCAAGTCATTGTTGTGTAGATGATCAAATACAAATATAGCTTAAAAGGGCTAATAATCTAACAATATTGACCTTAAAATTTTTTTTTTATTTTATTAAAACTGCTTTTATTTTAGCCGAAATAAAACAAGAAAAAAATACTTTCTCCAAAAGAAAAATTTCTTATTGAAAATACAGTGAGAAATGTCTTGCTCTGTTAAACATCATTTGGGAAATTACTGACACAGAAAAAAAATCACAGAAGGGCTAAAATATTTGACTTAAACTGTGCAAAGATACCATATTGAATGTAAATAAAGTGTCTAAATTTAAACAGCTTTTCTGAAAAAAAGGTCAAAATATGTATAAAATAAAGTTTTATCATCATTCAGAGCAACACATGTATTTACATAAAAAGAAACCCACATACTTATGCTGACCTCTACTTATATGAATATACTACTGACTAAAGTCTAGTCGACTATCCACGTTTTAGAAACATCAAATAATGACTTGACTTCTAGTTGATCATCTGGTATCAGAAGTGGCTTTTATGAAGAGATTAAGCATATTTGACCAAAATAAAATATGATCATGCCTAATATTTAATTATGACAATAAGGTCTGACTTTGCTTAGACAAAAGTCTTGTCACTTAACAGAAATAATGTCCAGTATAGAATATAAAGTCATGCTGCAGTGGAAAAAGAATAAATATTGTGTATGACTCCCATGAGCTTGGAGGACTGCATCCATACATCTCTGCAATGACTCAAATCACTTATTAATAAAGTCATCTGGAATGGCGAAGAAAGTGTTCCTGCAGGACTCCCAGAGCTCATCAAATTTCTTTGGATTCATCTTCTATGCCTCCTTCTTCATCTTACCCCAGACATGCTCAATAATGTTCATGTCTGGTGACTGGGCTGGCCAATCCTGGAGCACTTTGACCTTCTTTGCTTTCAGGAACTTTGATGTGGAGGCTGAAGTATGAGAAGAAGCGCTATCTTGCTGAAGAATTTGCCCTCTCCTGTGTTTTTTAATGTAATGGGCAGCACAAATGTCTAAATACCTCTGGATGTTGATGTTTCCATCCACTCTGCAGATCTCTTGCACGATCCCAAGCTCAAACCATGATTTTTCCTTCACCAAACTTGACTGATTTTTGTGGGAATCTTGGCTCCATGTGGGTTCCAGTAGGTCTTCTGCAGTATTTGTGATGATTGGGATGCAGCTCAACAGATGATTCATCTGAAAAATCCACCTTCTGCCACTTTTCCAAGTGATCAACTAGAAGTCAAGTTATTATTTGCTGCTCTTACAACTGGACAGACGACAAGACTTTTGTCAGGTAGTGTATATAAGACACAAAATTGTATGTTTTTAATTATTCAACATGTCTTACAGATAAATTGGCAAAACAATATTGTGCAAAAATGTAGAGAAATTTATTACGCCATCAAACGATTCTTGTTCTAAATTGCGATTTTCATCTACTAAAATTGACCAGAATGTTACAGGTGTTCGTCTAGTCCAGCACTCACCTGGTAATACACATGACAACTGCCACGATAATGGCGATCTGCACGGCTCCGATGATAGCAGCTATGAGCACATAATGAAGTTTCTGACCGCTGGGTACCACGTATAGGATGTTAAAGTCTGCAATTTCGTCACACTGTGTCCCTGTGTAACCTGAATCACACCTGTGGATGTACAGGAAATAATCTCAAACTCATTTTTCCAACGAAACAATCATTTTTTTAATGGGCAGCTTCATGGATATAAGCAGTTCTATGCAACCAAATCAGAGCTCACCTGCAGGTAGCGATGCCGAAATTTAATTCGCACTGGCCGTGGACACAGAAGTTGGCATAGTCATCTGTGCAGGGAACTGGCAACCAGCCGTATCCTTTTCCTTCTTTTGCTGGGTCTAAAAGCAGAACAACTCAATTAAACTCTATTGTTGAATGAAGGATGCTTTTTTCCACTTATACGCTTGTTTTGGAATCATGCGCGTTTACCCCCTTAGCTTGGTTTGTTTGGGCATACAGTATGTGAAACCTGCAATCACACTCTGATCTGTGATAAAACAATTGGTCTGAGATCGCTTGAATGAGGTTGTCTCTGCTCGGTTGAAACAAGCCAGGCTATATCACAGTGTATAATGGATATGCAATAGGCATACATATGCTTATAAGAAGAGAGAATAATGTTGTAGAGATGATCATTCCTACGGTAATGGAGTGTTTTATGTTGAATACCGTGAAAGCATGCGGTCTAACTGAACTATTAACTATATATATATATATATATATATATATTATTCAGGGCAACGCAGTGGCGCAGTAGGTAGTGCTGTCGCCTCACAGCAAGAAGGTCGCTGGTTCGAAACTCGGCTCAGTTGGCGTTTCTGTGTGAAGTTTGCATGTTCTCCCTGCATTCGCGTTGGTGCTCCGGTTTCCCCCACAGTCCAAAGACATGCGGTACAGGTGAATTGGGTAGGCTAAATTGTCTGTAGTGTATGAGTGTGTGTATGTTTCCCAGAGATGGGTTGCGGCTGGAAGGGCATCCGCTGCGTAAAAAAAAAAGTGCTGGATAAGTTGGCAGTTCATTCCGCTGTGGCGACCCCGGATTAATAAAGGGACTAAGCTGACAGGTAAATGAATGAAGAAATGCATAATTTTTGAGAACATCTAAGGGAAACCTCAGATGCTAGTAACTATTTCTTTTTAGATATTCGATTCAATATTACACATAACATAAGTAAAATGAGTTGTTCACTTTAAGGTGAGACTTTTGTTCTCATGCACGTCAATTTTGAGAATTTGGGCTTTTTGGCTTTTTATAGTGTTCTTTTTGCAGTTTAATGGACCAATGGATCTAAAAAGTATTTCTTTTATCACACTTTACCAATTTGTGTCTGGGGATTTCAATTATAAACCATTTTTAAAGGTTGTTTTTTTTTAAATGTCATGTTTTTTGTCTTCCACCGTATCAAAATTCTCCACTTTAACCAACACTCACATACTCCAAACTGCACAGTTTTATTCATATCTATATTCTGGTTCCTTTTTAAAAAAGAATATACTATATGTACATACATAATTTATTTATAACAAAATTCTATTCTACAAAACTAATAATAATAATTCAGGCTGTTCATGGTATTTTGTGCATTATGGAGTGATAAAAGAGATTCTCAAAATCCCCTATGTAAAAGCCTCTGACTAAAATATTTTAAAAAATAAATAATTAAATAATAATAATAATAATAAAGTAATTTAAAACTGAATTTATCTAATCTTCAGATTTTTGCATAGAAAAATGTATGCAAATCAGTGCAGATTTAAAGTCTGCGTGAAAATAAAAATGTTTAAAAATTTACAATGTTTATTTTACAAGTGCACATTGTTATTCTTTAGGTAAACAATCCATGCAAGTTAATCCATTGAAAAAAAAAAAAAAAAAAACGTTTTGATAATCTTTATTCAAAGTCTAACCATTTGCTTCAGCTTTAAAATGGCGGTCCTGCACTGATAATGTCAGTTTGACAGTATGGTGTGAAATATGATTAGCCACGCCCCTCCAACCATAAGTTTGCTGCAAACGCAAGATGATAGGAGGAGCACGAAAGAATAAAACCACGCCCCTTCTTATTAGTCATATCGAAACATACATCAATAAAAGTCTGCAGCAACGTTCCAGTTCACTCAGACTCTAAATAATGCCTCATTTATATATTACAACTATATTAAAAAAATACTTGTTTATAAATCAATCATCTGGATAAGTATGGTCATAATTATTACATTTACTTATTCCATATTTACCCAAAATTGTTCCATATTTACCCAAAATTATTCCATATTTACCCAAAATGTAACAATGTAACTTACCTGCATAATCTGGCTTGTAGGGAAGTCCAGCTTCAGTTTTCTTAGATTTGTCTTTATCTGAGTGATAAAACACAGATTGATTAAGATATGCAAATGATCATCACTTAAAAAAAAAACTGTAAATCATAAATAATGAGTGTTTTTTTTTTTTGGTGTTATTCATTTTCTGCAGAGCTGTTTTCTGACCTGGGCATCTGCCTAAATGCTTGACGTCGATCTGTTCCTGCTTCATACAAGACGCCTCTCGTACCAGGCAAGGATTATGGTAAGAGTTTCCATCTGTGCCGCACACTGGATTCTCATTGTGTCCGCTGCAGTCGATTTTACACGAACAGCTGCAACAGTAAACATGAACAACAACGGTGTCAGTGCATATGTGCTTTCAATTATTCAAAGCCCCAAACAAACATTTTCCTGCTAACAATAAGCACTTTACTTGGAACAAATGTTTTTAATAAAGCCGTAGATGTCATCTGGACCAATCAGGGTTTTTATTGTTCAATGAAATTAAAACCATAAAATAAACACGCACACATACATGAGTCAGAAACATCAGTACAAGAGTGCTTTCATGTTAGTAAGTATAAGAGCTTTATTTTTCCCCTAACACATTACAATGTAATATATGAATTAGTTATTTCTTTTTATTGCTAACCAATTACACTACCTGACAAAAGTCCTGTCGACTATCGACTTTTTTAAGTTTAAGGTTTAAGGAACAACTAATAATAACTTCTAGTTGATCATCTGGTATCAGAAGTGGCTTATATGAAAGGCAAAGACCTCTAATTACACTTATTTTACCAAAATAAAATATGATCATGCCTTGATTTTTATTTATTTAATTAGGACAATAAGATCTGACTTTGCATAGACAAAAGTCTTGTCACTTAACAGAAATAATGTCCAGTATAGAATATAAAGTCATGCTGCAGTAGAGAAAGAATGAATATTGTGTATGACTCCCATGAGCTTGGAGGAATGCATCCATACACCTCTGACTCAAATAATATAATTAAAAAGTCATTAAAAGCGTTCTTGCAGGACTCCCAGAGCTTATCAGGATTCTTTGGATTCATCTTCAACGCCTCCCCCAATTTTACCACACACATGCTCAATAATGCTCATGTCTTGTGACTGGGCTGGCCAATCCTGGAGCACCTTGACTTTCTTTGCTTTCAGGAACTTTGATGTGGAGGCTGAAGTATGAGAAGGAGCGCTATCCTGCTGAAGAATTTGCCCTCTCCTGTGGTTTGTAATGTAATGGGCAGCACAAATGTCTTGATACCTCAGGATGTTGATGTTTCCATACACTCTGTAGATCTCTCACATGCCCCCATACTGAATGTAACCCCAAACCATGATTTTTTCTTCACCAAACTTGACTGATTTCTGTAAGAATCTTAAGTCCATGTGGGTTCCAATAGGTCTTCTGCAGTATTTGTGGTGATTGGGATGAAGTTCAACAGATGATTCTGAAAAATCTACCTTTTTTCTAAATGATCGACTAGAAGTCAAGTTATTATTTGTTGCTTTTACAACTGGATCGATGACAAGACTTTTGTGTAATGTTTTTACCATTAGTCCCTTTATTCATCAGGGGTCACCACAGCGGAATGAACCGGCAACTTATCCAGCATATGTTTTACATAGCGGATGCCCTTCCAGCTGCAACCCAGTACTGGGAATCATCCACACACACACACACACACATTACTGCCAACTTAGTTAATCCAATTCACCTATAGCGCATGTCTTTGGACAGTAGGGGAAACTGGATCACCCGGAGGAAACCCACGCCAACACAGACAGAACATGCAAACTCCACTCAGAAAGGCCAACTGGCCCAGTTGGGACTCGAACCAGTGATCTTCTTGCTGTGAGAGGACAGTGCTAACCACTGAGCCACCATGTCGCCCCCTAAAAGCTTAGTATATGAAATAATAATGCGTTTTTAACTTTTATTTAGTATTAACAATTCTAATTCAATTAGATGCACTTATCTGGTAAACAAAGCAAGTCTCTCATTTAATCTATCTACCAAAAGAGAGAAAATATTACTGTGCATACTGTATTGTGAATAAATAATATGAACATTTTCATATTAGTCAATAATATTATTGAAATCAATACTAATAAGATCATTGAAAGCTGCAGTGTTGCTGTAAATCTGAACATCATATCTTCAAAACAGCATCAGCACTGAAAATGCCTGTCCCGTTGAGACCTGTGCTGGTTGATCATCCCCCCCTGCTGGTTCACCTAATGTAACTTCAGTTTATCTGAGCGTTTGAGAATATTTCCTCCTCAATCTCATGTCCTTGAAGCTACAGTGGTTCCTGGAATTAATCCACACTGTTCATTAGCGCTTGGCATGAAAACGAAGCAGGCAGAAAAAACTTCTGACACAAAAAGAAGTTTTGCAATCCTTCTCCGTCTCATGGGAGCCGTGTTATTTTCTCGGCTTTGATAGAGCTGAACCCTGTCCAACATTCATGCTTTTATATTAGGCACAATAGCAGTTGTTTCCAATGTTGAAAAACAAAACCTTCATATTCATTACTTTAAGCGCGCTGGCATGAAACAACTTTGGGACTCGTTAATTACTAACTCTCGCTCGTTAATTTGAAGCAAAAATGGAGAAGGAATGAATGCGGCACGTACGAGTCTTCATCCTCTGCGTCTTCATCACATTCAGCGCCGTACTTGCAGTTGCTGCATTTGGTGACTTTCTTGCCCGACTCTAAGCCCGATCCGTCAATTTCTGTAAAATAGGGTAAATACCATTTAAATGACTGTTATTTTACAATACAAGACATATAAGCATTTATATTTATCTTTCATGGTTAGATAAATATTAATGACCACATGATTTCTAATATACAGTTGAAGAATAAATTATCCCAGCAGGCACAGGACGTCAAATTGACGTTGCACCCTTATGTGGTGGGACTTTGCATTTTGAGTGGAAACGAAAATCGTGTTGACGTCAGAACTCAACATCAGGCCAACGTTAATGTCCAATGTTGGACAGACATTGAATTTTGGCCACTTTCCAACACAACCTAAAATCAACCAAATATCAACCTCTAATGATTTTACAGCTTTAAGTTGTGTTGGACGTTACCACTATGGCATCTATCAGTCGCTGGTTTTTGGTTGCCATACCTGACGAATAAATGTCAGTATTTGACGTCAGTATGACGTTGGTTTAAGATGTTAGCTCGATGTTGGATTTTTGTTACTTTCCAACACAACCTAAAATTAACCAAATATCAACGTCTAACGATGTTACAGCTTGACGTTGAGTGAACGTAATCTCAATGAAATCTATCAGACGTTGAATTTTGGCTGCCATACCTGATGAATAAATGTCAGTATTTGACGTTAATATGACGTTGGATTTTAGGCACTTTCCAACACAACCTAAAATCAACCAAATATCAACGTAATTTGACATCGTTACTGAACGTCAAAGTAAAGTTGTCCTTAGACATGCATTGAATTTTAGTTACCTGATGGCACAACCTAAATCTAACCTAATATTAACATCCGGTGACGTTGTGCCAGCTTGGAGTATGTAAAATATTTCATTCTTTTTCTAATCTTTCCAGAGTGATGTTTAACTCTTTCCCAGCAAACATTTTAAAAAACAAAAAATGTTGCCAGCATTTTTGATGATTTTCACCTTAATTTGACAGCCCTCAGGATATTTTATTCTAGAAAAATATGAGCATATTGTATATCAAAATAAAGAACCAAGCCTCTCCTATTAAAGAAATCAAACTACAAGTATACTATTTTCATGTGTTGATGTATTATCACCACTTGAATATAGAATAGGTTAAATACAACATTTGTTTTTCAAGGGACAAAGGTAGTGCATTTAAACTAGAAGATATATAGAATTTAATATATACTACACACAGACATACATACACACATACATACACTGTGAGTGAAATATAAGACAATAAGAGAAAGTATATATACATACACACAAGCATACACTAACTGGCCACTTTATTAGGTACACCTGTCCAACTACTTGTTAACGCACATTTCTAATCAGGCAATCACATGGCAGCAACTCAACGCATTTAGGCATGTAGACATGGTCAAGACGATCTGCTGCAGTTCAAACTGAGCATCAGAATGTGGAAGAAAGATGATTTAAGTGACTTTGGACATGGCATGGTTGTTGGTGCCAGACGGGCTGGTCTGAGTATATCAGAAACTGCTGATCTACTGGAATTTTCATGCACAACCATCTCTAGGGTTTACAGAGAATGGTCTGAAAAAGAGAAATACCCAGTGAGCGGCAGTTCTGTGGGCGCAAATGCCCTGTTGATGCCAGAGGTCAGAGGAGAATGGCCAGACAACCGAGGTCTGCAGAAGAGCATCTCTGAACACAACACATCCAACCTTGAGGCGGATGGGCTACAGCAGCAGAAGACCACATCGAGTGTCACTCCTGTCAGCTAAGAACAGGAAACTGAAGCTACAATACACACAGGCTCACCAAGATTAGACAATAGAAGATTGGAAAAACAATGTCTGGTCTGATGAGTCTCAATTTCTGCTGCGACATTCAGATGGTAGGGTCACAATTTGGCCTCCACAGTCTCCAGATCTCAATCCAATAGAGCCCCTTTGGGATATGGTTGAATGGTAGATTCGCATTATGGATGTGCAGCCAACAAATCTGCAGCAACTGTGTGATGTTATCATGTCAATATGGACCAAAATCTCTGAGGAATATTTCCAGTATCTTGTTGAATCTATGCCACGAAGGATTAAGGCAGTTCTGAAGGCAAAAGTGAGTCCATCCCGGTGCAAGTAAGGTGTACCTAATAAAGTGGCCGGTGAGTTTATTTTTATTTGATGAATTATTATTATATTATTATTATTATTATTATTATTATACATATGATACTTCAAATGTCTATAGGAGACCAAACTTGGCACCAAAAAGTGAGAATTGAGTCCAAAAAAGTTGAGCGCCATAATAACCTCCCCTTTCAACAAGACTGATTGTTTAAAAGCACTGTAAGAGGACGATTAAAATGCTCAGTGACACAGATTTGACAAGTGTCCAGTTCATCCTCAACAGGCCTTGGGTTGTGCTCGAGCAGCGCTCTGTAATTTACAGTAATGACAGCTCTAAACACACACAGGCCTTCATCTGTGAACCCGCACCAGCTCACGCTTTTATCACACAACGGCATAACGGGCTAAAAATACACTCAGATGACATGTTTTGGCTGATCCGCAGAGCTCTGAAGTGCTGCGCAGCGACCCATTTCTGAGATCGTTTGATGTCTCTGGGTCAAAAACCCTAGAAATGACCAGTTTCAGTTTCCTAAAAATTACCCTTGCTGCTTTCTGGTCACTCTCAACACACACACACAGCAAAAATAGTAACAAAAAACAAACACACCTCCATTTCCAGATCCCGAGCTGCTATCTGGAATCAAAACAAAAATTAGGATTAATCCTGATCCACGGTTTATAAGTACATTTATATCATGAAACATGTCAAGAGTTCACCAAATGGAAGCAGCAGTCGTGGGTTTGCCCTAGTCTGCGTATGATGTATTATTAACATGCATATCAAATTATTAGAGGGCATGATGACATCTAATTTGTGGATGAAAAGAAAATCATGAGATTAATAAGAGCTAAAAATAAGGGCTGTCATGTATCAGATCGCACTGCTCATTAGAGTCTGAGATATAAAGCCTCTGCAGCCTGTTTTATAGCATTTCTGCTCATTTAGACCTCAGAAAAATCTGACAAATTATTAAGCATATACATATACAGTAGTCAACACTTGAAGTGGATCAAAACCTTTACACAAAGCCGCAACGGCAGCAGTGTCTACAAAGGTCTTAAAAACTATTAAACAGTCTTAAATGCTATTTTTCAAGGTATTAAATTTGATATCATTTTCGATTATGCAGTTGTAAGCTGAAGTTTGCATAAATTAAAACTCTGAATATCAGGGCACTGTGTATTTTATGAAATAAATAAGATTCTGCTGGATTTGACATCATGCTGCTTTGTTTACTGCAATAACCAAGGCAACACCATTAATTCAGCAGTTCGATAGGCGCCAACCTGCTGAATTAGCTAGATTTAATAGACTGTTTTTCAGTATAAGAATAATGTTTTAGTGTTTGATTAGTTGCATACATTAATATTTAGTAAATATACAGTAAGTTAAAATCTCGCCCGTGTTTCCGGTTGAAATATAAAGTGGTTATGAGGTCTTAAAATGTATGGAAAGAGTCTAAAAAAGTCTTAAGGCCTAAGTTATGTGTAATAACAATGGAACGACACAAGGAGAAGGTGCTGAACTCCTGTAATGCATTTAATCCTTTGTATACAAGGCTTTTTTGGTGATGGCAGCTTAAAGACGCCTCTCATATGGAAAATAAAGTCAGATGCATTGCTCAGGTGTGAGTTTTTCACAGACTTCAGCAAAGTGTGGAAATCTTGATGAATCTGTGGGTCTTGTCTATAAAATCTGATCTTTACTTTGTATTTTCTATTGGGTTCAGATCAGGTGAATAGCTGGGCCATTCTACAGCTTGATTTTCTTTCTCTGAAAGCATTTGAGAGTTTATTTGGCTGTGTTTTGGATCATTGTCTTGCTGAAATGTCCACCCTGGTTTCATCTTCATCCTCCTGCTAATGCAGATGTTGGACTGAAGCAGCTGATATTCATTTACACTGAAGAACGGCAGAAGACTGCTGAAGAACTACTGAGAGATTTCAGCTGCTGTCTGGGCTTTTCATGTCTGTCTGCACCTCCCTTTCTTCATTTGTTCGATATTTTTTCCCTGTGTCATTTCATTTTATTACACAACTTTATTTTAAACTAATTAGATTTGCTGTCTTTGCATATAGGAATATCTTTGGTTGTTTACAACATCCGGGGAAAAGTCAACGGCACCTTTAGAAATATGTTTTCTGAGAAAAATGGTGACGTGTTCAATACTTATTTTCCTCGCTGTATATGACCGAAATGTACCTGAATTTCATAATGACAGAAACTATTCAGAATGTCTTTCTTTTTTCTTTTTTTTATATTCGCAATTTGAGTAAATAATTCATGTACTAAATAAAAATGATCAGAAAAAATAAAGAAAATAACCGAAATGCACCTGAAATAAATAATGTCAGGGCATTTTTAAAACAGTTTCTTACTGTTTTTACAGAATATTTTGTTGATGTTATTTTATATACAGTTGAAGTCAAAATTATTAGCCCTCCTGTGATTTTCTTGAATTTATTTATTTATTTTATTAAATTTTTTTTGAATGATGTTTAACATGGCAAGGATTTTATCACAGTATTTCCTATAATTTTTTTTCTTTTGGAGAAAGTCTTATTTGTTTTATTTTAGCTAGAATAAAAGCAGTTTTTAATTTTTCAACCCACTTTAAGGTCAATATTATTAGCTTTTTTAAGCCAGGGCTCAACAATAAGGACTGCCCGATGGCCCGAGGCCAGCGTGAGAGAAGCTCGGGAAAGTAGACAGAATCGTTACTGGCCCGATCAAGCCACTGATGCCCAGTCACTAAAGTTTAATTTGTCTGTAAATATTTGTCAATCGCATGCAAATATAGTCAGAATCGAGAAACAGTGTGTGTTTTTAAGACTTCGAATGCTAACGTCTCTGTTTCTCTTATCTGATTGGATGTTTTGAGCACGTTATTTTTCCGTAACAACCAGTACAGCGAAGAGACAGCAACATGGCGGCAACATCAAGTGATGATGCTAAAGGAAAACATTTGTTTCTAATGTCTTGGAAGCAGACATTTACAAGGGTACACCACAACAACAACAAAAAATGAAGTGTTTTGTACAGTTTGCCATCAGTTTGGCAGGTCTGCTATCTTATGTTTTGCAATAAAATATCTGCACATTTTGCTACTTTTGTTTGCAAAACACTTTGAATTTTGTTCATTATCTATTATTAACATTTTTTTAAATATTGAAATTCTAGATTTACAAACATTTTGACACATTTTTATATTTGTGGCTAATAAATAGCTTTAAACTTTTTTTTGGTAGGGCCAATGAAAATATTGGCAGGGCAAGTAAAAATCTGAACCACTGGTCCGATCGGGCCAGTAGAAAAAATCCTTAGCGTTGAACCCTGTAAGCAATATATGTTTTCGATTGTCTACAGAACAAACCATCGTTACACAATAACTTGCTTAATTACCCTAACCTGCCTAGTTAACCTAATTAACCTAGTTAAACCTTTAAATGTCACTTTAAGCTAAATACTAGTGTCTTGAATAATATCTAGTCAAATATTATTTACTGTCATCATGGCAAAGATAAAATAAATCAGTTATTAGAAATGACTTATTAAAACTATTATGTTTAGAAATGTGTTGAAAAAAATCTTCTCTCCAGTAAACAGAAATTAGGGAAAAAAAAAACAGGGGGGCGAATAATTCTGACTTCAACTGTATCTGGCTCCACACAGACCGACACTGACTGTTGCAGCTGTTCTCAAAAGATGCTTGTGACTTGTTTTAATAAAAGGATGCAGTCAGTGTAATATGAAGCGAGCAGAAGATGTTGGGTTTTCATTTCAGGAAGTGAAGGAGACGGTCTGGACTTACCAGGATCGCAAGGGCCTTCATTGGCCAGAACGATGGATTTCTGCTGGTTACAGGCTGCTTGTTTCAGATAGCACTCGTTCTGATAGGTGTCTCCGTTTGTGCCGCACACCGGGATGTAGTTCTTCGAGCACTGCGGTAAAACACAATGCATGACAAACTGCAAGACTAGATTTTTAAATTGGTGTATCTTCACTAAATATTGTCATATCTTAAGAAACCACACATAAAAACTAAAGTATTTATACTTTATTCTATTTTATTTCATGCTTTTGGTGAAGGCATGTTCACACTACACAATTAATTCACATTAATAAAAAAAACACGTTCAGTAATGGAATTTGAGCTTTAAACTACATTACCCATGATGCAGTACAAAAAGTCCACCAATCAGACAATTGCAGTGAGCAAAATGCACCATAATATATTTGTATATATTTTATATGGTAAATATATACAGTTGACTTTAAATATAATGTTTATTCTGATTCATGGGATTGTAATTCTTCTACTTAGTCGAACAGTTCACTGTCTTTGTTATTTTGTCTGATTTTTATATGCTTGTTTGCTTCTAATCGAAGTCTGTAAGGTGATTCTCCTTGTACTCAGTTGCTCTTCATGCTTTACAAAGATAAAAGTATATACCTGAAATTGGCATACGCATTTGATGTCTCCGCCGTTGTTTTGGCAGATCCCGTTGAAACGGCACGTGGTGGCATCACAAACACGCAGGTCACTCTTCTTCTCTGACAGATCTGACAAAACACAACAGAGGATGATTACATGCTGGCAAAACAATGATTGCTGTTCAAGGTATGAAAGCATTTTTACTTGTACTCTTGTTTCTAGTAAACAGTCTCATGAAGCGAAACCATTACACTTTGAGTGAAAATGCATGATCCTCGCCGGATCTTCAGGTTGCGATTTAACAATCCACTTTCAGAGTTTAAAGAGATAATTGACCCCCCAAAAAAATCTAAATATGCTACTAAATTTATTTACTCTCAGCCCATTCCAGATGTAGGTGACTTTCATTTTGCAAAATACGATTAAGAAAACTTAAAAAAAATAAAAATCATGTTTGATAATAGAATTTATGCAGAAAACTACATTAGAGAAATTCCAGCGTTATGAATGTGACATTTCCAGTAAAACCTGAAACTTAAATTCACAGGGAAGGCATGTTAAAAACATATTGAAATATCTGTATATATTCTTCAAAACAAATAACCACAGAATTAAATGATCTGAAAAATAACATATGTAAGTGTTTTTATAATACAAAATGAGCAATTTAAACATGCGTTATGGATGTGACCCCAAAAAATATGCACGTTTACAGTATATACAACAGACTTTGTAGAAATTCAGTGATTTAAACAGCACAAAAGAAATGATGGCAATCAAAATGATACGAGTTGGCTCACTATAGAACAAAAATGTGTGGATTTATGAATCACGTTTTGAATTTACAAACTGGATTTTGTTTATTTTTGAATTGTGTGTTTATATTTACGAACTTGATATAATTATTTATGAATCGTGTTTTGAATTTACAAATTGGATTTACGTATTTATGAATTTACGAATTGGATTTGTATTTATGAATTTACCAATTGGATTTGCATATTTATGAATTTACTAATTGGATTTGCGTATTTCTGAATTTACCAATTGGATTTGCGTATTTATGAATTTACAAACTGGATTTGTGTATTTATGTATTTACTAATTGGATTTGTGTATTTATGAATTTATTAATTGAATTTGCATATTTATGAACTTACGAATTGGATTAGCATATTTATGAATTTACTAACTGGATTTGCGTATTTATGAATTTACGAACTGGATTTGTGTATTTGTGAATTTCCTAATTGGATTTGTCTATTTATGAATTTATTAATTGGATTTGCATATTTATGAACTTACGAATTGGATTTGCATATTTATGAATTTACCAATTTGATTTGCATATTTATGAATTTACCAATTGGATTTGTGTATTTATAAATTTACCTATTGGATTTGTGTATTTATGAATATATTAATTGGAATTGTGTATTTATGAATTTACTAATTGGATTTGCGCAATTATGAATTTATTAAATGGATTTGCCTGTTAATAAATATATTTATTGGATTTGCGTATCTATGAATTTACTAATTGGATTTGCGTATTTTGGAATTTATTAATTGGATTTGCACATTTATGAATTTACTAATTGGATCTGCATGTTTATAAATTTACGAATTGGATTTGTGTATTTATGAATTTATTATTTGGATTTGCATATTTATGAATTTACTAATTGGATCTGCATGTTTATGAATTTACGAATTGGATTTGTGTATTTATGAATTTATTATTTGGATTTGCATATTTATGAATTTACTAATTGGATTTGCATATTTATGAATTTACTAATTGAATTTGCACATTTATGAATTTACTAATTGGATTTGTGTATTTATGAATTGTTTTTTAAATTTACAAATTGAATTTGGTAAATGTGAATGTGCTGTGCATGTATAAATTTTATTTTGTATATGTATTATTTTTAAGACGATCTGGCTTCATAGAAAAAGACTCAATATACTCAACAGGAGACGTGATGTCAATTTAACTTTGATTGTAAATGCTTTTTTAATGATTAAAAATGTATATATCACCAATGACCATGGTTTAAGTTAAAAATGTACAGTTTCCACAGAAAAATAAACAGATATCATTATGAATATAGTGACGGTGAGTAAAGTAAAGGGAAGTCAGTTTTCAGTTTGAGTGGACCTCCCACACTGCAATAAACGCTTTTCTCAGTAGTTTTTGTCTCGTTTCTAGTACAATTATCTAAAAACCTATTAAACCATGAAGGATTTTCTAGACAATATTGTCTTGTTTTCAGAAATAACATGTCAAAAAAATTTGTTTTTCCCTAAATAAAGCAAAATATTCTGCTAAGTAAAATAATTTTGTTTTCGCTTTGAAATAGGGTTATTTTGCTTACAATTTTCAGATTAGTTTGCTTGTTTTAAGGAAAAAACTCACTTAATTTTGACATATTTCTTAAAACAAGACAACATTGTTTACTTGTCTACGAAATGCTTCTTGATTTAAAAAATATAGATATTTGGACTTGAAACAAAACAAGTAAAAAATAGATATGTTTAGCAGCTCACAGCAGTTCAGATGGCTAACAAATGTGGATAATTATCCATTAACGAGGGTCCATATAAATGTTCATCCATTTTCCATAAACTAGCCGTCTACATGCACGACCAGGAAGTCAAATTTAAAGCCTATAATCAAATGTAAGTTGTGAAAAGTACTAATCTGAATCAGCCCGCGAGAAGGAAGCAGCTGTAGAGAGCATGTGCGGAACAGCTGTCAACGTTCAACTGTCATTCATATTTCAGAGCACTAGCTGCGAGAACGAAGCCTATTAACAGAAATTAAGCAAGGCCAGATCCTCCATCTGACGCACAGCTGGGACTGACAAACACGTTCAGACAGAGAAATAGGTAACTCGACAATCAAATCCTGTCATCATTCATTCATTCACATGCCCTTCTAAACCGTCTTTCCTTCTCCCTATTTGACAAAATATAAGTGAATACACTTAATTCATCAAGGATATAAACATTAAAGATTTAAAAACAAAGCTTAAAGTATCAAGTATCAAAAGTAGAGGAGAGTGGGGACGAAAGTACCATAGAAAACCTATTTTAAAAGGGAAATGTTTTAGACGGAAATATATTTTTGGTGTGGTTATTAACTCGTAAGTGTGGTCTATCAATATCCGGTGATATTTTGAACAAATGTTTAACAACTATAAAATTATTTCACTTTAAACAAAAGTTGCACATTTGACCCAGTCAGCAGGGACGAAAGTGACACAACAATATTTGCTCAATTTACTAAGTTAATGTTGTTTATTTTAAAGATACCTGATTACGACCTTGTTATTGTTAACCTCAAACATTTTTTGTCCTTTATTTTTGCAAACAATATTAAACAGCATTTTCATTTCAAATTTCAGCGCCATCAAATGTTTCAAAAGCAATCCAGCAATGCCAAACGTTACATTTTATTTACAATCTTTGAATATTTTTTATTATTAATGGCTTTATCATATTATTCAAAACTCTGAAAACTCTAATGTGGAAGTGAAATAATAAGGTTTGGCTTTTAGCAGTGGGACATAAATAACAATGTTACTTTCGTCCCCACAGGAAATCTCACCATTTAAACCTGAAAAAACGTAGAAATTTTAAACTTAAGGCTGTTATTGCACTAAATAACCTACGATTGATCATTACTGTGATGTATGAAAAGAGAAACACAACTTAATAAATAATAAGAAAAGAATTACAGCTACAATAATTTACTTTCTGCATTTAAAAACTGAAATTCAGACCTAACCGGGTTGCATGCTGAATGTGCTGTTATAGCCTGAAAAGCAAATGTTGTCAGGGCTTCGAGAAAATCGCTTTGTTACTTTCGTCCCACAATACCTTCATCCCCGCATATCAGTATCAGTATCAAATCCTGTCATCATATAGGCCTATACATTCACAACCTTCTAAACCATCTTTCTTTTTATCTGACAATAAATACGAAAATACACGTAATTCGTCAAGGATATACACAACAACGTTTTACAAACAAAACTTTTAAAGTATCATTATATCAAGTGTCAAAACTTTTAAAGTATCAAGTGAAAAACCTTCCTTTATTCACCCTTTATTCATTCACTTGTTTATCTACATACTTTTTCTTTCTTTTTATGTGACAATAAACAGCTGAATACACTTAATTCTTCAAGGATATACACAATAAAGTTTTAAAAACAAAACTTATTTCCATTGTGGTCCTCAATGTGAAGTACAGACTATACTACTCCTTGTAACAGGAACACTGTGATGCTGTTAGGTGTAACGCACTCCACAGTACTGCGGTAATGCATTCTAATTACATTTCTGGGAACGCAGTAATGTAATGAATTACATTTTAAATTTGTGTATTTTGATCATAGTTACTGTGTAATTACATTACTTACATAACAAATATAGTTTATAGAAGAAAAAAAGCTTCTTTTAAATCACATTTTCCACTGCAATGACAGTTAATAAACATGTGCTTTTAGATAGACAACGCGAGCTCAAATGGCGGCTGAAGAGTGGTTGCTTCTTCAAGAGGAAAGACAGACTTTGATTTCACTGAACGTAAAAACTAAATTATTGCGGTGAAATGCAGTCTATGTCCAGTCTCTGAAGAACTTTCGACTGCTTTTAACTCGACCAGCAGCTTGTTCATGCATTTGAACAGTAAGCATTCTAGGACAATACTCGTCACCAAGGAGGGTAGCGGTGTCCAGCGGCACAACTCAGCCTAAACAGGCTAAATTGAAATTTATTGTGCAGGATCAGAAGTAAAGAGAAGCAACACTGCTTCTGGGGCTATATCGCATCTTTTGCGTGCGCATATTGGGAGCACATATTTCCAGGTGTACTCAGTTAAAAACCGCGAGTCACATGACAAGAACTGAACAACCAGCTTTCTACTTTGGAATATACACATTTAGCTAGACTATATCTGCGTCCCAAATCACATACTTATGCACTATTCTACGCCATTTTGTAGTATAAATAGTGTAAGTAGTGTGTTCACACTGAAAACTCTAAAAATAATAAGTGCACTTTAATGGACACCTTTAGTGGACACTTCACGCACTCAACGACTGCAGGTTTGCTT